GAAAAAAAGTAGATGAGCGTTGAGAGTACACTGGAAATTGAAAGGGTGAAAAACCAACACTACCACAATTTGGTAATTTTTTAACCCCCTATATTTTTATGAGGATTCAATGCTTTCTTCGAACCCTTATTTTTAGGAGTGTTCAGTTTTGGGTACTCTACATTTTTAAAGGAACTGAAACCGACGGTTCTTTGAAATTTGGTTCCGATTCCTTGGTACCCAGAATCTGAATCTGTACAACGGTTCCGGTTTCTGTTTTTGGTACCCTATAAAATTTATACCCCCCAAAAATTTTTAAAATGGCAAAAAACCTCTTAAACACTTACAAATACCCCCCATCTAGCACTTGTTAACAAAAATAAAATTACAAATTATAAATTCAAAATTACAAACTCCATTACTTTGTAAAGGTAGATTCTCAAAAGTCAAACCAACTTACTTTAAATGTTATGAAATATAAATATAAATGTATTCACATTACTTTTAATACAAAAGGTTTTATTAACCCCCCTAATCTTTAATTTTATTTTATATTAGTCTCGGTTTCTGGTTCCGGTTCCTAACTATAGGAACTGGAACCGAAACTGCACAGTAACGGTTCCAAAAATTTGGAACCGGAACCTACCCGTTGACGGCCAGTTTTGGGTAGGAACTAAAACTAAACCCTGGGTATCTACCGGTTCCGGCTTCAATCGGTTCTTTTGAACACCCCAACTTATTTTGAATGGAGTGCTGACATAAGTCTATTAAAATAAAAAGTTAATTAAAAAATTTTAATGGAAAATGAAAGTTTTGAAACGTATTACCTAATAAATTTATGTATGAATTAATTGTTATAAATATTAAACAATAAACTTGGCCCCAGGCAGTAGTGGATCCAGAAATTTCTGTTAGGGTGGACTAAAATAAAAACTAATTGCATATTAATATTTTTGTTCATTAATATTTTTATTAGAGTGGGCCAAAATCCAAATATTGTATATACAGTAAAACCTCTCCATATTAATACTCTATATAGGAATAAACTCTACATAGTTATAAAAAATTATAGTCCCAATTTGAGATAGTTATAAATAAGAATAAAGTCTACATTGTGATAAGTTATAATTTTTCAAATTCCCGCCTTAAGGAAAGTTGCCTCTACATAATAATAATTATCTGTATATTACAAAAAAATATATGTTATGTAAAATTAAAGGTTTAAAATAAAATAAAATATTTATTTAAAATTGTTTGGGACAATGATATATGCTTTAGAGTTGTTATCATATCTTTTACCTTACGAGTATGTAATAGCTCGTTAGCATGTATACCTTCTTATTGAAGTCAAAATATTTTTAGTTTCTCAAGCATGTTTAGAGCTTTATGACACAAGATTTTTTGTATTTTCGTACTATTATCCTTAGGATTATTTCCTTTATCTTTTTGTCTAATTGCATCAATGATTTCTCATTTGGTTAAAGCATACACAATTTGTTGCTTATTTGGATAATCGAAGAAGTCATTAATATCCATTCGATTAGTGTAATGAAGTTGTTGAATCTGATCACTCAATTCTATAGTGGCTCTTTTATTCTTCTCATCTACTTCATTTGTAACTTACAATTCATCGATATTAGTGGTCCTAATTTTGTAGCCCTTAAAACCATTGACAATTGTCTGTGGCTTCACATTAATTGACCATGCATCAACTACATTTACAGTTCCATCAATGATACTTATTTTTGTTGGTTCTAAGAAATGATCTTTTATCCATTTCAAAAGTAGGCAATTGAAGCGCTGAATTAAAATTCTAATATTACTAAAATATGAATTGAAATCCTAATACTGTACTACTAAAACATGAATTATAAAATAAGAAATCAAAACTATAATTTTTGTAACTACACCTCCATTAAGTTATAATTTTTTTATAGTAATAAAATTAGTTAATCCCACCATTATGACTATAAAGAGGTTTTATTGTATTAATATTTTTTTTTTAAATTAAGGGTGGGCCATGGTTGGATCCGCTTCTATCCCAAGGGGTTAGCTTGACGATCAAAGAGTTTATTCCCTTTCTTAAGTTCCTAGATTTAAACTTTGGGGTTACATTCCATAGTAATATTGTAGCTTATCTAGTCTTTTGAGCGAAAGTTAATGAACTTTAAAAATTAATTAAGATGCATGTAAGCTGACCCGGATACTTCGGTTACTAAAAAAAGGAAAAAATATCAAACAATAAAATGTCCGAGATTTATCATTAATTAATAATAACGGGACATTAATTCAACAATTACTCAATTAGGGTAAACCAAAAGAATTTTTTAAAGATTTGCAGAAAATCCCTTTCCTTCTTCGAAACGCTACCGTAAAGTCTCTCTAAAATCACTCCACGACACTGTGCTCGTGCATCGATTTGTTGTACTTTCTCTCTCTAAAACCCTATGAACAGTACAGTACTTTAACGGGGATCGGCCATTCACAACTGGTAGGGCTCTTCACTCCCTCTATGTTTTCTCTCTCTTTACGATTATAGAATTTTGTTTTTTAGTTCTTTCTTTTGTACATTTTTTATTTTCTGGCTTTACTCACTGACAAGTTGTAGTTTATCAGAATGCTTGGGCTATTTTCTGTTTTCAATGCGTTTTAAGAAACTGGTAGTTTCGTTTTTGTGAAATAGTGTATCTATTTTGAATTTTTGGAGCGACGACCGGTTTCGATGGGAGTGAATTTTGGGAGAATTTGAGTGTTTTCTTTCGGTTGTGAATATGGTGGTTTGATTCATATTGGGAATGAATTATTCTTGTTAACTTATGTATGATAGTTGCATGTGAGTAACAGCACTTCCAAGCCTGTAATTTATGAATGGCTTAATTTATACTTCAATAGTTAATATGTTTCTTTGCTTATTTTGGGCGAAGATGGCTAGCTTATTTCTTTTTTATAATTTTTTTGTAATATCATTCTAATTTTATTTTTTGGTGTGTGGTACCTAATTTGTTTGGGTTTGACTGCCACCTTGCTATTGCTTTTATGAATTGGTAAGTTCCTTTTTCGTTTTTGAAATATGTATTGAGTTACAAACTTTGTTGGCCAGCATTGCAACTGCAGGTCTAATTGATTATCTGATTTACTTTCATTCAGAGTGAAAGTAAAAGGGAGTACTGATTTTGATTATTCTTTTGATGACTGGATAAAAGGATCATGAATTCTCGAGTTGCAATGGTTAGGTTTGGTACTATTTGATGCAAATGCAAGATCTATTCATCTTGTTTAGGTTTAAAATCATTGACCTACAGTGTAATGGTGTTTAAGTGTATCCCTAAGATGGATAAAGTCCATAAATTACCCAGTTTTCCAACACTTAGGAGCAATTGTTACGGGGAAAATTGTTGTTTCCATGGTTGCATGACAAATTTGGAAAGCTGTTAAGTACTTGTTGTTATGTCGGTTACTCTTAGACTAGCTTGTGGTAAAAGGAAAATGGTTGGCTGATATTATAGTGAATTGTGCTGGTGGATCATCTGGACAGTGGCTGTCCAAAGAATTTGAACATATTGGGGATGTAAAGAGGTTGAAATATTGTTTAAGGTTTGAAATTGTAAAGTCTTAGTTTAGATGATTAGTGCTGGTTGTGGACTATTCTGTATATGCAGTGAATTAAAGATGAGGGAGAATGGAGTGGAAGAAAATGGAAAGGATAGTCAACAAAAGTTGAAGTGTATCAAATTCCCATTAATGAATTCTTAAATTTAGACAAACATTCTTATAGCTTTTTGGTTCGTCTAATTAAATTCTTATAAGTTTTGGTTCATCTAAATTTGTAATCATAAGTTCAAATGTAAGACTCTTAAAATGGTAAGCCAAGATAGGGCTACATATGAAAGGTTAAATTAGACAAGTCCTTAGACTAAGCTAAAAATCTGTTGATGGGTTGAAGGTGTTCAAACAAATCTTGATTTTATCAAATTTCGTGGTAGGGAGACAATGACCTTGCCTAAACCCACTTAAACAAAAGGTTGAGCCTTTTTTGAAGGAAGAAGAAAGTAAACCTTGTAGAGTAGGAAGGTTGCCTATCAAATGATTGGCTTGATGAAACTCACCCTGTATTTCCATGTGAGTCACTAGGCCAGATTGGGAAATCATCTGTTCTATGCAAAGTAAGTTTCAAAGAATAATTTGTTTCACACATATCATGTATTTCTCCATTATCATCATAATCACATGCTATATAACATGTATATTTATTTCTATTCTAGTTAAGAGAACCAAATTCCACCAGAGCTTGGGGGCCTATGCAGAAGTTCCTCTGAGTGAATCTTGAGTCTAAAACCTTCTTCAGTATTGTTTTGAAATTCATATTCCATTGATCTGTTTTTCTGTCTACTTTACATTGAAGGGTAAAAAATATAGATAATTTTACAGTAATTGCTTAGAATACACACAAAACTAAGGTAGATCCCCATTTCATCTATACTAGACTGAAGTGGACCCAAGCGGACCCCACATCAGTGCAAATTGCATTTCTTATTTTTGCTCACTTCTAAGCATGCTTTTACTTAAGCTTCTCATTATACTTAACAGGGTGGGCTTTTGGTTTGGTTTCCAGTGTAACTAGTTTCCCTCTTAGAGTTTTAGATGAGTTGCTTGATACATGCATTTTTCATCGACATTTTGAATTTGCTTGGCCAAACTTTTTTAGTACATATTTGAACTGCTTGTTAATTTTCTATTTGGAAGGATTCACGAGTGCTCATGAGGTTGATATTTTAGCACATGGATCATCTTTTGTTATTTAATTTGTTCAACAAGGTGAATCTCTTCTTGTAAATGGATGAATTTTCTGATTAATTTCAAGACATTGCCTTGACCATGTAAATTGAATTGAGATATGTTTGCATCTGAGGATTTGATTGAATTACTGATTCTCTGTTTATGCTGCCTCTTGAGTTATTAGTAATGTTTTTCAATTTCAGGTCAGTTCTCCTTGTAGGGATTCTCTTTTTGATTTGGTTGAAGAAAAGGAAAATCACTATTGAACTTTGATGGCTGCAATGGATCCTATAGACATCAGTTCATCTGATAGTGATATGGAGATAGGCGAAGCTAGGCAATCAGAAACATTGCATAGGCAATCAAGCAATTTGAGAATTCTTCCCCCATGGGGAACCAATCATAGCATAAAGTCAGGGAGTACAGGTTAGATTGCCTTTTACAAATTGAGGACTCCCCAGAATTAAAATTGAAAGATAAATGTATTATTAATAGCGCAGATAAAAAAAATGCAGGTTATGGTGGGCAATCTCGAACGGCTCTTTCTCAAGAAAGGGCTAATGCTTCGGATGCAAGCACTTCAAACGCAAATAATCATTCACAGACAAAAATGCAGATGCTTCCTGGTTCTAGGGAAGACAATCAAGGTTCAAACCGACATGCGGGCCGAGCAGAGGATTCTAATTATTTTTCTGGGAATGGGAATGTGGGTCAGCTTCAAACTGTTAATTCTCGGATTGCTAATATTTCCTCTGCAGATTTTGAAAAAATTTCATCCCAGCAGGCTTTGAAGAGGACTCTTCCTGCATTTTCTCAGCCATGTGCACCAAGTACAAAATCAAAATATTTAGTGGAAAATGTGAGCAGCAGTCAGATTCATGATGCATATGGAAATTCTTATAATTTAGCTGGACCAGGTGCAACCAATGGTGAGGGCTATATGAGAGACTATTATTTGAAGGGCAAAGACGATGACATTATGATGTATGAGAATAATGGGAATAGGGTTCTACCTTCTTCTTTGATGCATGGAAAGAATTTTTCCTCGGCACAATTTGGTGGTCCAAGTGACTCAGTCTACCGTTCAGGTCTCACCGAAGAAAGAGCTGTTGGAAGTGATGAAAGATTGATTTATGAAGCAGCAGTAGAGGTATAATAAATACACAATTTTATTATGCCCATTATATAGATAACTGTGGAAATACTAGTATAATAGCAGTATTTGGTTGCCGCTATGCACATAATGACAAATAATTTCATTTATTTTTGATGTTGTTGGCATATTTTTATCTTTCATGTCAATATTTGTGGGAATCTATGAGAGTTGGTAAAGATATGACTAAAGAAATAATAGTTTTAATTTATTTGGGGACTGCAGTAGGCAGATCCTGCTGCTCACAAATATCGAACATTTGTCCTTACAACGTTATAGGACCATTTATTTTTATTACCATAACCAATGACTTTTACAAGTCTCAGGATATGTTCACTGTATTCTCATGGATACCTTAATTCTAGGTAGTACTAGGATTATTGACTTTTTTTGCTCGCCTGTTTCTTTTATGAATCTGATTACTGGTTAGGGACTAATTTGGATTCTTTGGACAAAAGCCTGGGTTAACGTTCAGACTTCAACCCTTAATAAGTTAGGCTGAAATGAGACCTAATTGACCATAAATGAATCGACTGTTTGTTTCCGCTTTTACTTTTTGTTGCTTCTTTTGTTTGCTTCCCATGTACTTGGGTTGTGCTCCCTTGCGTTCATCTAATGTTAATTAATCAGCCTCATTATAATTTTTAGGGTCAGTCTTGATACTGTATGCCAATTGAACTTGAAAGAATTCTTCTAGCTAGGGCCTAGTGTTGGCTGGGTGATTCCTTTATCACTATTTAGCTTTCTGTGTCTCTTTTTGGTCTTCATCTCTCTTCTCTTGGCCATAAGAGGCATTATTTATGTGCTTCCTCTTCTCCCTTTAGTATTCGCTAGATGAATCAGGTTTCTCCTAATACCACCATAATCATTGGTCTTTTTTGCTCTTGATAAAGCCAACAATATTCAAGTTTCTAGTCTATTCTTTTGTTGTGAACATTTAGTCCTATTCCTCCTTTTATAGTTTCCTTGTGTGGCAATATCAAGAATCATTCTTATATCCACATGTAAAGATCTATTTAGGAGTGTCATTGTTAAATATCAAATTAATTTTTGTTCTATTACAAAATCAATCCGTTTTTATTGCTTAAGAAGTCCTCTTGTGGCAATAATTGGCGAGTTCGTACCTTTAAATTTATATGTTTTGAGCTTCGTATTCTGTTTTTCAGTTTAGGATCAAACTTTGGTCTCTGGTTATGTTTTCTTTGATTATATGTTTTCCTTGTGTTATAGCTGGTAAGGTCCTTTTGTTGCTTTATTTTGATTATTATTTTTAGGAGCTAATTTTTATATTTAAAAATAGTGTAATTGTTGAGGTAGAGCAGTGTAATTATGCTAATTTTTCATTTTAACTTTGGTGGTGTCTTAGGTGACCCTGAGCTTTGATTTTATGTCAAAATGGCTGTCTTATTTTTTCCAAGGTCTTTGGAAAATAAATTCTGGAACAGTTCTTATTTTTGTTCTCTATAGTTTAGAATTTGGTGGACTAACAACAAAACTTCACTAGCACCAGATTCTGTGCTACAACTTTAGGGAAGTGCCACCCTGCAGTCCTTTTTATTTTATATTGTTTCTATTTTTGAATTTTTGAGTATGGAAAGCAGATGAATTTGGCCCTGCACTTGAACATCTTAAGCTGTTGATAAATCAATTAATGTTTGAAATAGTGGAAAGTTCAAATTAGGTGCACCTTGGTTTGTGCAGGAACTTAATCAGCCAAAAGTTGAAGCTACTCTACCTGATGGTCTTTTGTCTGTCTCTCTCCTAAGACATCAGGTCTAATCTTATCCTTTGATTATTAGAATCAGTTTTTTTATATATGTGTATTACGTAGTTTTGTCTAAATTATTTTATTAACAGAGGATTGCATTGGCGTGGATGCTTCAGAAGGAAACAAGAAGTCTGCATTGTTTAGGTGGAATTTTAGCTGATGACCAGGTTACCTTTTTCAAGCTTAATTGATTATTGATCTGTCTTCATGGTGATACTTTTTTGGGACATCACTAAAAATTTGTGCCCAGACTGATTATGCTTTTATTTAACAGGGCCTTGGTAAAACCATCTCAATAATTGCCCTTATACAAATGCAGAAGTTTTTGCAATCAAAGTCAAAAACAACATCCAATCACAAACCTGAAGCGTTGAATTTGGATGATGATGATAATGATGGTGCTGTTTCAGAAAAGGCCAAGCAGACCGAAGAATCTGATGAAATTAAACCAGTCCCAGAAGCAAGCACCTCTACTCGTGCATTCAGTCGTCGGAGGCCAGCTGCTGGTACATTGGTTGTGTGTCCAGCTACTGTTCTCCGACAGTGGGCCAGGGAGCTGGATGATAAAGTTTCAGATGAGGCCAAACTTTCTGTCCTCATCTACCATGGAGGCAGTAGGACCAAGGATCCTGTTGAGCTAGCCAATTATGATGTGGTTCTGACGACATATTCTATTGTTACTAATGAAGTTCCAAAACAACCTTTAGTTGATGAAGATGAGGGTGAAGAAAACAATGGGGACGTGTATGGAGTATCATCCGTATTTTCAATCAATAAGAAGAGAAAAAAGATATCTAATGTTAGCAAGAAGGGAAAGAAGGGTACAAAAGAAAATGGTTCTTCCATTGATTGTGGTTGGGGTACACTTGCCAAAGTAGCTTGGTTTAGGGTGGTACTAGATGAAGCTCAAACAATAAAGAATCACCGCACTCAAGTTGCTCGAGCCTGCTGCAGCCTTCGAGCCAAAAGAAGGTGGTGCTTATCTGGAACACCAATACAGAATGCAATTGATGATTTGTACAGCTACTTCAGGTTTTTAAGATATGATCCATATGCTGCATATAAGTCTTTCTACAATACCATAAAGATTCCAATATCAAGAAATTCACTTCATGGTTACATGAAGCTTCAAGTTGTGCTGAAGGCTATAATGCTGCGCCGTACAAAAGGTGACTATTTTCATTGTGTGTGCATGTGTGTATCTATACATAATTGTGTATACATATTGTAAGTTTTTAGATATTTTTGAGGGATTGGAGGATGGGAATTATTGCTTTTGTTCATGCCATGAATTACAACATTCTGTGTGTTTTTCTGGGATTCATGCAGTTGTTCAGATTTCTTTAGCATCTCTATATTTTTTTCCTTAGAGAATTCAGTTTGTTTTCAGAATTTTGTCCAATGGCTGATAACTATTAATTTGGATTAGGATTGTTAGACCCTAAATACTGTTATTAGACTTTTTACCTATTAGCTTAAACTTTTAGATTAATTTGTAATTTAACCAGGTGTTAAAATCAAGTTGACCTAGTGGTCCTGTGCTCAAAGTCTTTTTCGCCCTTCATGCTTGCAAAATCCTTTTTCTCCTTCTTCCTATTTATTATGTCCTGGTAATATCTGAAATTGCCAAGAATACAAATATCAGTCAAGTAATATAAGAAAACTTTAGACTAGCTGTGTGATTTTTAGTTAATACCTTCAAGCTTGAAATAAATGTTTTCGTCTGTGTAGTTGATAAGAATATAAACATCGCAAGTCTTAGTTTTTATTATTTGTTGGAGCCTAGTTAATGAGGACCTGGAAGATGTTGAATTTTTATGCTAAAGAAAGGAGGTATATGAGGTCAATGGAATATATCCTACAGATGCTTGGGGACTGTCAAAATGAAATGATATCAGTGCCTGATTGAAGAGCCCACGTTGGTAGAATATTGGGTTTTTTGGCTTTAAGGAGCTAAAAGTGAGACATTAAATTTTTATATGAACACAATTGCATTTTCTCAGATTTTGTAGGCAGAATACTGTGCTTTTGGATATGCAAGTTCTATATTTAAGCTTCTTATAAATGCTTCAAATATTCATGGAGTACCTTTCGTGTTAATGAGTAATTGAGTTATAGGATGGTTTTAATGAGAAGTTCACGTTGGTTGTCAAATTGGCTTAAGGTTTAAAGTATTTGTTGCAATGTCAATGTCATTGGGTTTGATTGTTGCTCCTTCACCATTAATTGGTTTCAATATACATATTGTTTTCTGTAATGATGAAAATGAGCTGGAAATAGTCCTTCACAATTGTCTGGAACTGTATGAATCTTATACTTGAATTTGTAATCCTGGTTCTAATTGTAACCATTGACATGCAAATAAATTTTGAGTTTGAGGAAACAGGTGTGGATTGAGTTGGAGGAATTGAATGAAATACATTTCATACCTTTGGCTATTGGGTTGGCATGATTCTATGTGACACTTCTTTGGTCTTATGGGTTTTATGCTTGACTGTCAACTTCACTGTGTTTCCTAGGAATAAGCAAAATCAACATGGCATATTGTTTTATCATGCATGTCATGCTGAGAGAATATTGGGTGTTTGTCATGTGGAGCGAAGTCATGAAAAAATGTTTCAGGCCGTGGTCAAGAGGTCTTTCAATGTGGAGAATGTCAATGTGAGAGTATAATTAAGTTATAATTGAGTGAATAGTTGAAGTTTTTAGAGAAATGATAGCCCTTTTGATAGGGGACTGGGAACATAGAACCAAAATAGAGGAAGCGAGAAATGGGAGAAACTTAGAAGAAATAGAAAATAGGAGAAAATCGGAAGAATCAAGCAAGAAACAGTGGGGGAGAAACAGAGAAATGAGGAGAAAGCCGGTATTATTCATCATTTGTATTTAAAGTGTAAAAACAATAATAAACTAGGCCTTCATGTATTGGAGGTCAAGACACTAAATAGGTAACTGCAACACCTAATAGGAACATTGATCAACCTGAATAAGGAATTACACTCCTTTCAGACTAAAAAATAACATAAAGTAGGAAAAAATATATGAAATAAAATAATGTTAAAAACCTAAAATATCTAGTTTGTCCTAAATCACCTTGCCTTGACATTTTGTACACTGTGGTTTTCATTATTTATGTCATTTTTTACATTGTTTGGTTTTTTTATGTTTGGTACAGTAAGTTGGCTTATCATTATACCTAGTGTCAAGCCCTTTGAAATTCTAAACATCAGGACTCAAAACTGGTTTGACCAGGTTATTTTCACTTTAATTGGCAGTTTTATTTTTTGGTCAAGCCTATTAACATCTTTATGGCTGACTCCACCATGTCCTTGACTTGTACATTAAAAAATCATCATGCTACATCTTTAAAATGTAATGAATTGAATATATTTTAGTGCAAACCCATTTTTTAGTGAGCAAAGTGAGTGGGCGATTGTCGCATCATAGTTTTGTTGTTTATGAAGACATGAATTTGGCTGAAAGAGCACTCTGTTTGCTATTGAACTTCTTTGTGTGTCCCGAAAAAGTAGATCAGATGTTAATTTTTTTAACACTTTGACTGCACTGTGCTCTCACCCTCTGAGCAAGAGAGATTTGATTGATATCCTCAGTTTTTCATTACTTTGGTTTTACCAGAAACAGTCTTTGTGTTCTTGACAAGCTGGGGAGATATAAAAAGTGCTAGAATGCTTAGAAAATGGTCCCATTTTGGCTTCATATGGAGACTGGGAATTTTACAACTTTTTAGGGCGTGGAGCATTTGGCTAACAATATTTTTAATGGGTTGAAACTATTTCTGGGTCTTTCCAAATTTAGATTCGATGGTGAGAAAGTGAAAGCCTTAGATTGTGGTTGAATTCCTGCTTGTAAAACCAAGTGGTAGTAGCCACATAATGCCGAGGACTTAGTGGTGGTAATCACCACATGATGCTATCCTTCCATTTCTGATGTTTGAATCAGTAAGTGTAATGGGTGCAACTAGTGTTCTCTAAATTTTTTAGTTATAAGATTTATCAGTTGTGATTTGGCATAGATTGTGTAAGGGCCTTCATGATGATCTTTATGAGTTTTACATTTGTTGAGGATGATGGCAAGTTTTGCTTATTTCTCTACTTGCTTCACCGCATGATTTAATTTATTTGTATGGGATTTTTACATTTACAAATGAACTTTACTTCAGTTTAAAGATATGTTAAGTGAAAATAGTCAATACTTTTGTATGTTTTTTTTTTTTTCGGCTTTTGAAATTTATCATTGCTTTCCATAACTCTCGATATTTGCAAACAATTTTGCAGCATATGATGTAATATTGATACTTTGCAATAAAAAAATGCGTTCTTTTATGCTAGGGCAATGATGTGACATAATGAGTGTAAACTTTTTTTTGTTTGATCAATGCTGATCTTCATTGTTTTTATGGTCTAGAAACAAAGATAGACAACGAGCCTATAATTAATCTGCCTCCAAAATCAACCTACTTGAAAAAGGTGGACTTCTCAACCGAGGAGTGGGGTTTCTATAGGAAGCTAGAATCTGATTCTCACAAGAAATTCAAGGTGCTTTTCTTCTACTTCATGTGTTTTCATTTGAGTAAAAAATATTAAGCATGGCCGGTAAACTATTTTGTATCTTAGGTTTTGATTGTCTGACAGGCAACCCTCTATATTCGACTATGTTTGCTTTGGAGGCAGTAAACATTGTTGTTCTATTTAGCCTAGTATTTGATCATTTAATGACAGCAATGTGGTGTGTGTGTGTATATATATATATATAAAATACAGAGTCTTAAAAAAATCGTGAAGCTAGGTTACATTAATAAGTACTCTATTTCAATTATGACCACAATGAAAAGCACTTGATTTATGTGAAATTGCCTGGAAAACTGAGAGAGAGGAAGAGTTCCTTTATTCAAATCCCACAGGATGCGTTTGTTTCTAATAAGTTGGTTAGTTGTCAACTTAATAAATATTACTTTATCATTCTATAAGAGATATCTACTGTCAACTTAATAAATAAGTTTGAGGTCATTCTATAACACTGAGGTCATTATATATATAATTTTTGTTTCGTTTGATTTTTAATCTTATGATTGAATAGTTTATAAGTAGTAAAACCATCAAATTTTTACAATAAGAACATTTTTGAAGACAATGTGAAGTCTATGCTCATGCAGAATCAAAAGTGGAAGAGCAGTCATATTAAATGATATCTTCTGCTATTAGGCCACTAATTATGTTATGCCTTGATATATGGTACTGTAAACCTAACAAAAATGTTATAGTACTAAACTTAAATTCATTGTGTGATGGTTTAGGAGCTATTTCTGGCATAAAAATGTTGTCATCAATTCTGAAGGATTTTTAGGTCAAGTATCTAATTTAACCTTATTGGATTTATGCTGATTTTTCATTTCTTGCAGGCTTATGCTGATGCTGGCACAGTTAACCAAAACTATGCAAATATTCTTTTGATGCTTCTACGCCTTCGTCAGGCTTGTGACCACCCACTTCTTGTCAAAGGGTATAATTTTGACTCTGTTGGAAAATTTTCTGTAGAAATGGCAAAGAGACTCCCTAGGGATATGTTGATTGATCTGTTGAGCCGCCTGGAAACTTCCTCAGCTATCTGCTGTGTATGCAGTGTAAGTTTCTTCTTAAAATGTGATATGTCCATTGTTCCTGTGGATTTTTTAAAGAGCTTACTGATGTGATGCGTTTCTTTTATTAGAAAAAAACAGATCTCATTGTTGCCAATGTTGCTGCTCATTCATGATTTTTTTTTTGATGAATAACACGTTCCTATATCCAAAGGATATATAGATAATTGGATATGGGTTGGAGACTTGGAGCTCTAAGTAATTAGTTATCTGACTTGGTAAGTATGCCACCTGATGCTATAGTTTTCTGGAAGAGCATAAGGTGGAATGATTTTCTTGGTAGATTGACTATAAGAAAGTTCAGAAAGCTGGTTGCATTTATTAAGTTATAAGCTGATCAATGGTGATATAATACTGTTAACTTATTCATGGAAGTGGTGCCACTTTATCATAATCTTAGTAAGTCAATTTTTCTTGGACAAATATGAAGTTCTAGAATCCAGTTATTATTCGATTTTATTCTATATTTCCAACCAAATTTTTGATACAAATATGACAATTTTTTTTTCTTCCATTAAATAGTCATTCTCCAAGAAGGCAGTGAAATAACTGATTCATTAATAGCTGTTAACTGGTTATCACATATTAGTTATGCTCCTGGTTTGTTTCTAGCCTTGTACTCATTCCTTACAGCTCTGACTGTGATTCTGAGCTATAAGAAGTGAATTTGTGCGTTATGGATTTGAGAATAGGATGTTTTATATGATACTTTGGTTGCACCGACTTGTTTACAAAGGAATTTATTTAAAAAATTCCAGAGACTCAGTGATGATATTTTAGCAATCATATGGCTTTTACAGTTTGATTATACTTTGTCTTTGTATTAACAAAAGCATTAAAATTTGATGTATCTAGTCTGTGTTTATTTTGGCCTTATAAACGGTGCCTAAAAATCTGTAAATATTTAACACTTCAAAATTTAGCTGTATATTTTAAAGGAGTATTGAGTGTGACTTTTGTATAGAAGTTGCTACGCTGTGTTAATGATTTTTTGTGTTTTTGGCTATTTTGTCATTTGTTTACCATTCAGAGAGACCTGTCATATTTTTTTTGTTTTTGATTATTTCATAGGATCCACCTGAGGACTCTGTTGTTACGATGTGTGGCCATGTTTTCTGCTACCAGTGTGTATCAGAATATACAACAGGCGACGACAATACGTGCCCTGCGCCTAAATGTAAAGAACAACTTGGTCCTGATGTCGTGTTTTCAAAAGTTTCTCTTACAAGTTGTCTCTCTGATGATGTTGGTGCTGGTTCAATGGATTCTGAATTCACTGAAAGATCAATGATTCTCCAGGATGAGTTTTGTTCAGCAAAAATAAGATCTGTTCTTGAGATTCTGCTATCTCATTGTAAATTAAATAGTTCAATCTTAGAATTACATGGTCCCACAGGAAGCAGTAGAACATTTGCAGAAGGTGTTCTTGATGCTGAGGAGACAACATTATATTCAGAGTCACCAACTAAAGGACCAATAAAATCAATTGTCTTCTCCCAGTGGACTAGGATGTTGGATTTAGTAGAATTTTCTCTGAATCAGCATTGCATACAATATCGGAGGCTTGATGGCACGATGACTTTACCTTCACGAGATAGGGCTGTTAAAGATTTCAACACTGATCCTGAGGTTAGGTTCCTATTGAAAAGGATAAATTGGAATTCTATATTGTGTTGATTTATTGCTGTAGTGTAGATCAAAATTAATGCATTGTGCATAATAAACTTGATTAGGCTATTTTAATACAATTTTTTACACAAATTTGTGACAAATTCATGACTGTTGATTTATGGTCAGCTAATGACTTTGGATGAAAAGTTAAGAGTTAGTTATTTTTAATTCCAATTAAGAAATTTTTGAGCCATTGGATTACCATAAATCAATGATCGTGAATTTGTGTTAAAATCTTGTGTTACAATAGCTGGACCTAATAATTTTTCTGTCTGTCATACGTCATATAGTCTGGTCTATGTACTTCCACCATCTGAATGTAGAAATGTGTTGCAGATTACTGTGATGCTGATGTCTTTAAAAGCAGGAAATCTTGGTTTGAACATGGTTGCTGCATGTCATGTTATACTTTTGGATCCTTGGTGGAATCCAACTACAGAAGATCAAGCTGTTGATCGAGCACACAGAATTGGACAGACTCGTCCTGTTACTGTAACTCGGANGATGAAAAGTTAAGAGTTAGTTATTTTTAATTCCAATTAAGAAATTTTTGAGCCATTGGATTACCATAAATCAATGATCGTGAATTTGTGTTAAAAACTTGTTTTACAATAGCTGGACCTAATAATTTTTCTGTCTGTCTTACGTCATATAGTCTGGTTTATGTACTTCCACCATCTGAATGTTGAAATGTGTTGCAGATTACTGTGATGCTGATGTCTTTAAAAGCAGGAAATCTTGGTTTGAACATGGTTGCTGCATGTCATGTTATACTTTTGGATCCTTGGTGGAATCCAACTACGGAAGATCAAGCTGTTGATCGAGCACACAGAATTGGACAGACTCGTCCTGTTACTGTAACTCGGATCACTATTAAAGATACTGTAGAAGATAAAATAATAAGCCTCCAGGTAACTAATTACTTTTTACTGGTTTTCCCCTTTTATATCTGTTTAGTCTATTTGATTACTGATTGTATAATAACTGGAAGTAAAGAATTCAGAACTTTGAATAGAAATTTCTTGGTGAGAAGGTATAAATTTTCAAATAGAACAAATAGAGATGGATTTGATCCAATTTCTGGAATGCCTACACTGAGGTATATCCTCCCTGCTTTCTGCTGAGAATGACAAAAGAAGTTCTGTATTCTCTGTTTGTAGCAGATTAGTTGGATAATTGAACCAAGTTTTGGAGAATTGAAATATTTAATGCATTACGTGGAGGATTGTTGTGAAGTTATAAAGTGTAACAGAGATATGTTGATTTGGTATAACTGTGAAAGATACTAAAATTGAGATCATTAGAGTTAGAATCTGATAAAAGTTAGCCAGAAGACAATCTTCCTAGAGCCATAGATCTGTATTGATTTAGATTATGATGTTCATTTTGGGGACATTAAATAAATTTTCATACAACTAATTTGTGTTAAGATTTAAACTTTTACATGTACAAGAAAAATGTAGGTGTGGCTGTGGTTCTGTGGGGCATATGCTTTGATTAGAGTTTGAAACAAATGGTTCTTATCAGACAGAGGCCTACTTTTCCTTCAGACAAATTGCACATAGAATGAGTTTTAAGTCATGAGAACTGGTCTAATGTTACTTGTAGTATTTAAAGCTGGAAGTAATAGGTGAGGTATTCTAAACCTCTGGGAGGCACCTATAATGTATAGGCATAGGCTTTTATCAATTTGTTATATATATTCCTTAAAAGAACTGAATATATTTAGGACAGAGAAGTTCATGTGTTACCAATGTAATGACAAATATATTCAATTTTAAACTTGTCTGACAAGAGGTGGGATATTTTGCTTTCTGTTCATTCACTGTAGAATTGTATAACAATTGTATTAGAAAAAAAAAATTGATAATATAAGCATGATACAGCCTGATGAAGAAAATAAGGTTATTTCTAAAAAGTAGAATAGTTAACATTTTTCTGTAGTTTCTGTATGCAACCTAATAATGTTCACCCAAATAATCCAATGGGAGGAAAAAGGAAGAGACTTGTGAATTACAATTGCAACCCATTAATGCATTTATCCTACTAATAGCCATTTGGATTTTGTCAAGTTGGAACACGGAAGTAAGATTGGTTTAAGGTGTTGTTTGGGGTGGAAAAAGAGATTATTAAATGGAAAGATGAATAGTCTATCCTTTAACATGTTCTTCTTCACTGACCCTGTTTTGCAGGAAGAAAAAAGAAAAATGGTCGCTTCTGCTTTTGGTGAAGATCATGGTGGAGGAGGAGCAAGTCGCCTAACTGTGGACGATCTCAAATTTTTATTTACGGGAGTACAGTTACCACGGTGACTTTTATATTCTTGCAGCCTCCCGTATTTCTTAATTATATTTTGTCTAGGAAGTTTTGAGAGTCAAAACTTTGACTCCCATTCAACCAAGATATGAGGGATCTGTGGCTGCACTTGTAGGTCCTGCCAATATAGTGGCTCATTTAGGACTCTGATGGGTGTTGGTATATCTTTTTTTAGATGGTAATTTTGGTGAGGCTTCTAAGGCATTTTTGTTCTCATCAAGTGCAGAGATAGCAACACAAAAGCCGCCTGTAAATATTCTTAATTATTTCCTAGTATATATCTAATGTTAGGTTGTTAGTTGGCCTTTCTTGTTCATTATACATGGTAAACATAAAACAAGAAAGGGAGAAATAGCTGTAATTTTTATGGGGGCTCCATTGTGAATCGCTGCAACAAGGAATTTATAGCTGCCCATGATTGATATGATTTCATTTGATGAATATTTGGTTGAAGGTTGAAATAGAGGACAAGAGAAAGCTCTTCAACCTGGTTATAGATGGTTGGGCAGTATGTATACTCGTGAAGGTACAATTCTATTTCACAACCTTTCAAATTCCTGTTGAAATTGAGATGGAATCAGTGAATATTTCTCAACCCCTCAATTGAGGAGATTGAAGAAAAAACTTTATATTTTTTTGTGATCAGTGGTATTCATAAATATGCAATTCAAGTAGATAATAAAGTCCGAAAGGAACTGGTTGAATAATGACAATTCTTTTACAAGTTCATATGTCCAGCGTTTGAAGGGAAGGACAATGGAGGAAACAGAACTTTGTCTCCCTATGATTTGTGTAGAATCCAATCTTATTAGATTATTAATTAGGAACAAACTTTCATCTTCAGTTATCTAATGGTCCCTTTGGAAAAGCATTCCAAAATCGATAACTTGCACCGATAAAGTAAGTATGCATTTTTCAAGTATGCATTTTTTTGTGCTTTCATGGAAATAAGATATTCCATGAGCTAAAGCTGTTCTACCAACGAATGATTTTCCATAAGCATATTTTCGTTTTTGCCCTTGCACTTTTTTTTTTTTTCCCTTGCTACGGTTTTTGTTATTATCTGGATAAATTGACCTACCTTGGTTGCTATGGAAAAATATAGAATAATTACATGAATGACTTATGGATTGTTTTTGATAATAAGTGGGAAAAAAAGAAAAACTAGAGATAAGTTGACAAATGTAGTTATGAAAAATAGAGAAAAACGAAATAAATTTTGTGGAGCCAGTCTGTGTAACCTTTAGACGAAGGCGACGGAATGGATTTCCCACTTTATGCACTAATTCATGTGAAAGCTGTAAAATCTTGTGTGATGGTAGTGGAGAACGTGTTCGAATTGACATTTTCTGAATATCCAACCATTAAAATGACAAAGTCAAAAGAATCATTGAGCGAGGGCTTCCCTTGTCTACACCATTTAGTCATTTACCAGTAACTTTATTAAAAAAAAAAAAAAAACGGTGGTTTATGGGTAAATCCAACTGAGACAGGTACTGAAGAAAGTGCTTTTGAAAAATAAATGATGTTTAGGAAATGGGTGTGAAAAGTGAAATGCGAGTATATCCTAATTATCCCAATTTCTGACCAAAGCTTACATTTTGCTTTTATTGATTCCTTTCCTTTCACCGATTTCACCAAACAAATTTTTGCTTTTGTGGGGCTCTAAAGTGCTTACAAAATACAAACCAAAATCCAAGAATGTTTAGTATTTGAGTTAAAAAAGAGACGTGAATAAGTTTGTTTTTTTTAATTCTGTGGTTAATCTCTTAATATTTGAAAAGAGGAAAAAAGTAATAATCTCTCAAAATATGGAAAAGTAATAATACCTTTGCAAAAGTCATTAATTGAATGCTCTCCAACTTAGGTTATACCAAAGGTAGACCAAAACTCCTAGTGATGGCTTCACATGCCCATAGTGGTGGTTCCCCTCCCTTTGTCCTCATGATTAACACTATACTCTTGTGAGAAAGAGAAAGAAAGATAAGAGAATCTCTCCATTTGAAAGATAAAAACAACCCCAGAAAAAAGGTGTTGGGGGCATGGTATGAGCAAATTGCAGTGACATTCATTTCTAGCCCACCACAGGGGACTTAATGATATCTAAATATTCATATTTTAGTCTGAATGTCAAGCTAATTTCACTATTTATCAAGTAAAAGGACCCTCTTGGTCCTCTTGGATCCTCCCATCTAACAAAAACTTTTCTCTAATACCCAAGTAAATTACCTTTTTTCTGATTCCTTTGACAATCTGTTGGTTTTCCTGGGAATTTTGGACCTCTTTCATACCCTACCTCTGTTTAATCACCACTACTTCTTTTAACCCTCTTTCATAAAATAAGCCTTTATAGAATCACAATCACATTTACTACTTTTACACCCAAACTTCTTCATTAGGAATATAAAATAAAAAAACACAACTTTAATGCATTAATTAACTACGACAATGACCACATGACATCTATATATATATATATATATATATATTTATACTATTAATATGATTATAATTGACCTAAATACTAGCAAAATTTAACTATTAACTTGATATTTACTTAACAAACATTGGGACCAAATCCCACAAACCCATTTGCTCCATCAAAAGAAATCTGAATTCCTTCTTGTTGGATGTTTCCTATTATGGAAAGTCCTGAAGGGGATGGAGCAAATGCAAAACAGAATGTTCCCGCATCATCCACTGGAATAAGGAAGTTATTTGCTGGAAGGGTAAGGATTGGCCCGCCGGAGAAGTAAAATGATACGGTTGGTACCCGAACGGATACAAACCCAAATAGGTTATAGCAAGTATCAAATATGGATACTCCGGATGCCCGAGGTAGGTTTCCGGTTTGTGCTAAAAATGAATCACGGAATGCCTCATAGGCCACTGTTGGCAGCCTGGTCACGGCAGTTCCGGTATCCATAACCACCCCACCATAACCCAACTGATTTAGCCGGAAAACGTCTTCGGATATGGGTACCCGCATACCTCCAACTCCAAGACCCGAAAGCCCCACATAGTAGAAACTGGTAGCCCGTGGGTTACGGACCAAAGGAACCCATGCAGCACCCACGGGTAATGCTCCACGACCAAATTCCAATGACCCTGATGCACCGGTGCCCCGACTCACTAAACAGTAGCTAAATGCACCTCCAGTTTGGCCACCCAATTGACCCACAAATGACAAAGATCCACCTCCAAGGCCCAACAACCCGGCAGCTCCAACAAACATGCCTTGATTTCTATGCCCGCACCCGATTGCCAAGTTTCGGACCGTGGTCCGACCAACAGTGAGCGTTTCAAGCGCTAGCGTACCTTTAGTATACGACCCATCACCGTACGACACCTCGTAACGACAACGACCCGCGTGGCAACCAGCGTTCTCGAGGCGGTCACAGACGGCGGAACTGCAAGATACGCCGGTAAAAGATGCCGAATCAGCAGGGTTAAAAACCGGGTCGGATTGTTTGTAACATTGGTTACAAGGTTGGCATTGAACCCAAACGATATCACTACCGGAGTCAATAACCATGAATTGACTTCTTGGTGGGCTACCAACTCCTATTCTAACGAAATATTCTCCACTCCCTTGCTCCATGCCAGACATCACGTCAGTCCCGAAATCCTCCACGTCATATTTGACGGCGTCTTTACCGCCAGAGAGACGACGCGTAAGGTGAGCCACCCTTTTCACGTCCCTTTGCATGCGTGCATGAAAACGGTGACGATTATCGTGAGAGTTTGCGGTGGTCGATGATAGTTTATCTCTATGTAAGAGTTTAAGCTTCCATTTTCCTGAAGTATCATTATGGTTTCGAAATACCACTTCATCATCATGAAGCTGAGAAAGAGATAGCTTTACGGGTATAGTTTTTGCCGCGGCAATTGATTCATTGACGTTCAAATGTTGAAAGTCAGGGAAAGAAGCGGTGGAGGTGGAGGTGGTGATAAGACAAAGAAGTGGGAGAGTGATGAGCAGTAGTTTGAAAAGTGGAAGTGAAAAAAACATGGTTGTTTGGAGGTGATCAGGTAATGGGTTTTGGGAGCAGTTGGGTTTTAGGTTAATGAGAAGAGACGAGGGGGGTGGGGGCTGAGGTGGGATTTATGGGGTTTTGGGATGTGTGGAGGGAAAAAAGTTGTGGGGTTTGTAATAATTGAACAATGGGTTCTGTTGTGGTTTTTGGATTTATTTTAAGAGTTTAAGACTATTGAACTGTGTCTTTTTCTTTTTTCAACTTTTAGAAGCGGTGAAATGTTGACCAAAGAGTGCATCAAATTTAATTTTATGAGTGATACAACTGGAAAGAATTAGTTCAACCCAGAAAATAAATAGCAAACAGTTGGGTGGTGACTCAGAATTTGTTATTTATAAGTTTTGTTGCTTGTATAATATATGGTAGCAAACTAATTAATACATTACCTCTTAATTAATATAATCCTTCTAAGTAATTATCTTAAATATGCTTAATATTTAATTAGTAAGAACATGCACATTTTTTAGAAGAAGGTGAGATAAAGCAAACAACCCCAGGAGGTGACCTAATAATAAAGAGGATATGGAATCTTCTTTAAACAAATATAATGAGAAAAACAAATAAAGATTGATTAATTCATCAAGTCGAAGGTAATATTTGAAGTGACATATACATTTCTTTTTCATCTTCCAATTAATATCAGACTTTTGCAGACATTTTTTGGAAGAAATTAATTGTGGGATAATAGTAATACTTCCCATAATATGGAGGGATGGAAAATTCTTCTTTGGTGGTTTTTTTTTTTTTTTTTCTTTCTTTCTTTGTGTAGCCAATAGATCGAATTGGAGAGTTGTTTGTCTTTGCTGCGCACTAAAATAAATTGATTTGATTAGTGTATATGAATATGAGCCAACTTGATCGTGGAATAATTCCTAAGACAAGACAAAGAGTAGTTTGAGTCTCTCATTACTTTTCCATGTAAATATCTAATTAGCTCCCTGTGTGTAGTGGAGCTTCAAAAGTTGGAAGAAAATTACATAATGAATTTTATAGAAAGATTGAAAAGCATATTATATAAAAAAAAATAATGTCAACACAATTGATTATAAATTCTAATCAACCTTCAACCTATATGGATGTTAAGTAAAGTAATCTTCTTTTCCTTTAACTTTTTCTTTTAAATATAATCAACAACTTTCTATGTTCACGGTAAAATATAAATAACCCTTCACAGCTAGCCTTTTTACAAAGTGCATACTCTCATGTTTAAGATTTTAAATTAAGAGAACGTGCGTTTTGATTTTAAGTCTTTATAGATTAATTATTTCATTAATTGTCGTGGCTGTAACATTAATCGCCAGTATATATCTATATATATGTATGCCTCCAGTGATCATCAGTGGATATGATCAACTTCAATCTTCATCCAGAAGAGTTTAAATGGTTTAGGTATATATGACGTAGTTGAATATGAAGAACAAATCTTATCTGAATCTAATCACCGGAAGATAATTTAGTTTATCATCATACAGTCTCAATATATATAAACACATGAACTATCATTTTCTTCCGCTAAAATTGGCCACTACAAAAAAATACAAGAAGCTGTTTTAATTTTCATCAGTTGATTCCCACTACAAAACGGTCCCATACTACAGCTTTTTAATTCGTCTCAATCTACGAACTAAATTGATCAAAATTAAACTTGAATTGGTGTATAAAAAATTTGCATGGAGTATTAATGAGTGCGGGACAATATGATTATATGAAGTAGCTATCGTATAAATGATATATGGTGATCTGACATTGACCTAATAATGATCTGAGAATGTAGAGATTTTATGGTCACGCGTGATTTGAAATTTGATCAAAGTTTGTAAAGACACCAACAACTCATGTATATGCATATCATTATTACAACACATCCCCCACTTTGTTACAATCATTTATCTCTTTCTTCACGTGCATCACCATCTACTCTCAATAAATATAAATCATCATCTTCTATGTCTTTACCCAACTCTCATCTCGTGAACATGTTCAATTATAATGCTCTTAAATTTTTGTATGTATATATATTTCATGCTTCTTTTAAACATATCTATGATAACGATGCCACTAGTTTATAATTTTAATAAATAATGTTTTTTCAGTAGCATGGGAAAAGTTAGGTTTCTTTTGTTGTTAAACCATGAGCTAAGAGAAGAGACCACCTTTAATTAATTAGTGCATGAGTGGAAGGTTAGTTTAAAAGTAAATATTGCTTGTAATCTAATATCTTAACTCTTATATGGCGGCTCACCTCATTCTTTTGGCACAATTCTACCACATTATTAATATAACAAACCACATTTTAATTTCTATCAAATATCACCTAGGGCCAACTACCATTATCAAATCAAATCAAATCCCCATTCTACATCCCAATTTTTCATTCATTGGTTACTTCCCTTTACAATTTCAAACACTTTATTTTTGAAGATCCTACTTTCTCATTTTTATTTTTAACTTTATGAAACAACGATCCCAATCTCTCAACGTGTATCCATTACAACTTTTGTAGATTAAAAGTAAATATATATATATGTATTAATGAAAAATAAGCGATACAACAACTATCCACTTATATAATTTAATTTCTAGTAGTGATATATTTTTTTTTGGTTGAAAATTAGCCTTATCTCTTAACGTATTCCACAATTAGTGTCACTTTGAAAATGGTGTAAATTTTAAGATATCCTTAAGGAGCAACAAAGGGTAGGACAGACTAATTTTAATATAAAAATGATATATAAAATAAGAGTTATGTGTTTCCACTTACGATGAACACAAAAAATAAAAATGAAAAAAGAAAGAGATATCTGTGGGCATGCGAAAAGGGGATTAAGATGCAAAGGATATTCAAATGGTAATGGAAATGGTGGTAAATACGACAAGAGCAACCAAAAATATGATAAGGAAGAAACTGAGTGGGAATGTCACAAACACATTATTTAATTTGAGTTGGGAATACATAAGATAACGCACACCCTCTTAATAATTGACCCATTATTACACCTAAAAGTTTCCCTTATTTTTTACTCAATTAAACCACTTTTAATTTTTTAATTCTCTTACTCTCTTACATTCATGACATGCACAGCATGCATAGCCAAGCACAAGTTTGTACACAGTTCTGTATGCCATCTATCATATTAAACATAAATATCAAAACCTAATTTTTTAAAATTAATCAATTAATCGACAGAGTTGGACTACATTCTTTGTTATGATAAGTTCTCGATATATAATAACCCACATCATTTAAGGACACAGAAGTCTGGCATTAATATATCCAAATCCAAAATGGTATTGATGGGGATAAATCATAATCTCCCAATAGTGGGTATGATATTAATATAATTCCAAACACTATACAGTATTAATTAATTAATGAGGGGGGAGATCTAGCGATCATTCTGGACAATAAGATGGTGGTAGTATGCTGTCTTGATTAGGAGAAGATGACAGGTTTTAGTTAGTGGAGAAATTAAAATCCTATCCCAAATATATATGATAAAGACTTGCTCACTTTTTTGGTCTATCATGAAAGAAGCTGAATGATATTTGGTTACGTCTTTGATTCTTCAATCACTACAAGTGCTAAACTGAATGAAGGTTATATATATAGTTAAATTATTAGAGTGAGAATCCGCAATTAAAGCAGCTGTTATAGCAATGGTAAGAAAACTGTTCATTTACAGCAGCAGGGCTCCGAGATTTTGGTGCAAAAATTACAAGGTATTTGGAGAAATTTCCGACCAATTAACACATGCACGTGATTCCTAGAATTAAAGTCAAATCAGAGAAATTAACATTTAGTAATATTATGACCCACCACTACTAAACCAATGTCTCTATCTCCAGCCATTACTCTTTCTTTACTCCTCTTCTTTAACCCTAACCTTTTCAAAAGAAACATCATCCCAGTCCCAGTTATTTATTATTAATTTATTCCTCCCCTGGAGGCTTTTTAAATACATGCAGTGCAAGTTATTTTATCATGATCTCAATTTATTGTTTTAGTAGTCATTGTTGCAATAGACAAGAAAGAAAGAAAATAATTCTAAAGATATGGTATGGAAATATAAAAAGTTTCGTGTTAAGAAACTGTAAATATGCTGAAGAAGCTACAAATATTTTGACTTAAACAAAAAGGTGCGTATGCTAGCGAATTATTACGTACTTACAAGTTAAAAGATATGATAACAACTCTAAAGCATAAATCATTGTCTTAAAAAACTTTGAATAAATATTTTATTTCATCTTAAACTTTTAATGTAACATAACATATACTTTTTTGCAATATACATATAATTATTAACTTTCTTGAGACGGGAATTAAATATAACTTATTACAATGTAAAGTTTATTTTCATTTATAATTATCCTAAGTTGGGATTTGAATTTTTTATAATTATATAGGAGTTATTCTTATATAGAGCATCATTATAAAGAAGTTTTACTGTATAATAAATATCTCATTCAGAATTTTCATGATTAAATGCCAATAATTTACTAATTAAAAACATATACGTAAATTGATTAATATTTTTTAACATGCATAACGTTTGTGTAAATAATATAAAGTACGTAACTGGTAATTGGAAGACCCGAAAACTTTTTCTTTCTACAAGTTTCAATCATAAGGCAATCAAAGGTTAATAGTATTTTTAAATAAAATGATAAATTCCAACTTTAATAGGCAGAATCGATTATAAAATATTTTTCAGGTCTGTGGTTCAATCAGTGAAGAAAGTTTTGTTATGGTAATGGATGGTGACATGATCAAATGCCAATAATAATATTTGATATTTTCTTATATATGGAATGGACCAGCGCCGATTGAAGAAGCCATCATGCTTTCCCAAAAGAAAACTATTGATGTATATTGGATGTATATCAGACTTAGAGACGGTGAAGTAATAATGTGTGTTTTATTACTTGAGGTTAAAATTCAAAATCAAACAAAAAAGGAAAAGGGAAGGAAGGGTCTCATAACGAGATGATCAGAGGATGGTGGACCTTTTTCTTTAGATACAATATTTCAAAATTCACGGGTGGGTGTGGATGTGGCCAAAGATTTATCCAATAATTGTAATCCCTTTGGCACAACACTTACAATTTATGTTGAAAGGAATAATTTAATTTAATTTATTTATTTTAGAAATATACATTTCAAATCATTCTTATAAAAAACAAAAAAATTTGTTAATGCATAAATTTCTGACATATAAAAATGTTCCAAGGCTGACAACATTAGCACTAAAAGACGTCGAGTCTTGGCAGTCAAAGTCTACAATTATTCTTCCAGTTCATATAAGCGGTATGCAAAATAAAAGGAACACTAATCTCACCCAGCCCACATCAAAATCAAAGCTCTGCCTCATCTGTAGTTCCTTTTTCTTCCCTTACCGATCCACAAATATGTGACAACACAAATACAAAACAAGAAGAAAAAGTGCATAAAAAGCAATGGCCATATGTTTTCAAAACTCACAATATATCAGCAAATAGATTGAAATGGTGAAAGAGTACAATTTTTGTTACAACATCCCAACAAGTTCCTGGCTGGTGTATATACACACACCATTTGGAACTAACGGCCTTAAATAAAATTGACATCACAAATAACAAATTTTTTAACTCACAAACTAGTGACCCATTTGCCCTATAGCTTATACCTATCACATAAAAATAAAATAAAAAATACAACTCATCCAGCAATTAAACAAACACTTGGCACGATTAAAAAGAAAATTCCCTAAAATGGTTCACCTACATTAGTGATTTATAATTAGTGAAATAAATGGTGTGTCTCTTCTTGAGGTTCGATTTGGTAAAAGTTAATGAGATTGAGCCTCTTCCACACTGTCAGCTAAAGCAGTCCATGTAAAAGGCAAACTGCTGCTGAGAATTACATGCATGAAATTTCCATGTTGACACTTGCAACAACTCGTAAGGCTTCAATGTAAGAAGAATAAGGAGCACTTTCTTTCAAAGGATCACCGCATCACTGACTCTTTCACAAAGGATCGACCACCTGAACTGCATGAACCAACATCATGGTAGTGATCAGTAAAAAAAAGCTATGTAAAGCCCCATAAGCATAAAGACTTGAGATATTAGGGTTAAGAATTATGTGCTGTGACTTACGCATATTCAAGGTGAATATTCATGAATCGAGCATTTTCTTTGCTTTGTGAAAGTACTAGAGAGCCTTCAATTAGCTGATCTTGCTCCACTTCTATAGGGTCATAAAAGTATATCAATGTCTGCAAAAAAGTTAAACCATCATAAAATGAGCTTCATGCAAAACCATCCACAATTCTTTAGCAAGAAGCTAATTGGGAGTAAAAAACCGCAATGGAAAAATTACAAGCCTTTTCTTTGGCAATAACTTAATATCAAAATATATTTATCCATGATTTCTCAAGCATCATATTCACCATATTATCCCCAATCCCCTGGCAATCATGATCCCTAGTAGTACTTGAACTTAAAAGTTTAACAATGTTAAACAAATAAAATGTCAGATCCACTGTTTAACTTGCAAACAAGAATTAGATACACGCAAAACACTTCCAAACTGCTTAGACTGAACAAACTTTTCACAGGACAAATAAATGCTGTTGACACATCACAAAGTAGTACTCCAAACGTTAAGCATCTTCAAATCACCTACTCATGCACACCGAGTCACCAAACCAGCTGTTACAACCATCTGACACTATTTCTGACAGAGGTATAAACGTTTCTTACATATTTACACAAATACAAATACTTATAAGAATACTGGGATTTTTCTCAATATTAATTTCAATGCCAATCACTCCAACTTTGAAAGTGGCAGATCACTTTCTACCTTACTGTCACTATGTTAAATTGAGACATGTTTTAAATGGTAAATCTTTTCTTTCTTTAATTTTGGGGGCAGGGGGACTGAACACTTTATGGACAGTCTATATTGTGCAACAGGCATTTGCAACAAAATGTAGTATTTGCCCCTTGCAGAAATGAAAGTGGGATAAACAATGACCACAAAGCTAAAAATGTGTGAATTTTAAGACATAAAGAAAAGCAGCAGCAAATTCTTGCTGAATGCCTGATGTACAGTACCTGTTGCCAATGTGTTGGTGGGTCTTCAGGTGCTGTGGACAGCACAAGTGCTTCATTTGGATTGGCACGTTTTTTCTTCTGGCAACCATCAATTTGATGAACTACAGATGGTATGTGGTTATTGGCAGGATATAGAGCTGGGCCACTGAATTCAACATCAAACCAGAATGCAAACCCATGCAGTGGAGCTGGAAACAAACTGAATTTTAGAAACATACTTGTAAAAAAAAAAAAAAAAAAAAAAATACATATACACACATATATATAAGGATTGAGTTGAGATATTGGAGTACTAATCACATACACAAAGAAGAAGAAGAAACTACTTATGTACTAATATGAAAATTTGAAAGTGCTACATGTATAAAGTGGACCAGTTATTGACAAAAAGGACAAAAAAATTTGGGGCAGCAAAACCTATGCAAAAGCATTTGCAACTATCTTGCTGAAACCAAGCATGAAAATGATAATTTATAAATAAATATTGTTCAGTAACTACTATACCCAATAACATAAGCTTGTAGCTAAGGGTGGAAAAACATTAGTATTTAAACTCTTAACACGCCAACTCACATGCAAGATGTGTACCAAACAAAACATGACAACAAACATGCCAATATAAACTTTTATATCTTGTTAAGTAACTACTTATCCAAAAGCTTAAGGTAAACGGTAAAGACCTAATGATTTAAGCCCTTAACAATATAAATGTGAGTTTATGATCAAAGAGCTATAAATATCCTATTGATGTAATACTAATAATGCATTTTACACAAATTTTGACACAATCTTAGAGCCCTTAGATGAATGCATTTGAACAGATGAAATTGCATCTAAGTTGTGTTATTTCCAAGATATATTAGTTATACAAGTTGCATTGAATCTCAAATAAAACTGTGTCATACTTTATGTAAAAAACAATATACATATTGTGTCAAAATTTGTGCAAAACTTAAGACTCTCGAACAAAAGCCTATATATGTATAACTAATGTATATATGTATGTATGTATAATAGATAGAGAGAGAGTACCACGCATCATTGACTTGAACTTGAATGCTGTTGCAATAGATTCTAGCTCATGAATTTGAATGGTATAACAATCCACATGCTTAACCTGTAACCAGTAATCAGCTTTTAAACTTTTTAATGCATATAGTAATAAATGTGTGTATGGTACACATACATAGAATTCAAGTCTTTGTATTAGATGATTACTTACACAAAAGACTAAAATCGATTTACAGTTTATGATTGAAACAGCCTCAATGCAATACGTTTTTGTGTCAAAGACTCTCAATCAATACATAAGCTAAAAGTTGTTAATTTTGAAAACTCAATCAAGGAATTGGACACGTTGCTTTAAAGTTATCACTCAATAGGTGAGGTGCCTTATTCTTTTGTTACTCGACTCTGAACCAACAATTAATATCTCATCTCTTTAGCTTCTAGGTTCAGAAAATTCTTCCAATGCTGTGGTTGGAATTGCATCACTTAGATGCAGGCATCCCACTCATTTATTAACTTCAAAAGTAGAAGCCATGTGTACCAGAGTACAAAATGAGAGTTAATGTTTTTAAGTAGTACAAAGAGCTGAAAAAAAGAGAACTAGTTTTTCCAAAATGTTAACAAATTCATCATAAACTAGATAAGAAGTCACTAGTATCAAATTAAATGAAAAGACTCACCACATGTGGCCATGTCAAAACATTCTCACCCGTTATTGTCTCAACACTAGGCTCTTCAAATGCACACTGTTTAGCTAACGGCATCATAGCAGACACTACAACCGACAAAAATAAAATTATAATTGCTCATTCACATAACTGAAAAGATAGTACTGGTCAAAATGGGGGATGCAGGGCACATTTTTTGTTTCATTTTATTTATGTGTGCCAAGGTGAAACTTTGAAAAGCACCACTTTGATCTTGATCTCAAAATCATTTCATGAAACGAAAACTAAAAAGTTAAATAGCATTGCAGAACCAACATTCAAATCTTCACACACTTGAACCTGAAACAGACCAAAGCAAAAGGCATGGGGTTTCTTTTCCAGAAATGTGTTGCTTGGGCTTACAAACTGTGGAATATATCCGACTTGATATTTAATCATTGCAAAATCCTCCCTCAAGAATGTTGGCAATCGCTGAACCTAGTGTTTCTTTTTTCAGTTCTCAATAATAAAGATTAAAACCTTGTTCTATACCTAGAGTTATGTCTCCCGCTATTACTCACTATAATGCAATGAATTTCTGTACTTTGAAAATATATCTCATCAAAGATCAAACCCTATAGATCAGTGTTACTTTCTTTGGTAGATACTTGTGGTTAACCAGAATCATCTCTAGCAGAAGAAGATTGAATCCTAGACGTGTTTCCTAAATTAATTTTGTTGCTTTCTTATTCCTGGCCTAGGAAGACGTGATCACAGATGACATCATCAGTCATCTATAAAATTGATATGAATAAGTGTCATCAAATGCCTTGAATGAATAACACTAGTGACAATTGAGTTTAAGTATTGGAAGAAAAAAATCCAGTTAATATAAGTAGGCTTCTATGATTGCGTCTTTCTACAAATGAAAATGCAGTACGAGAGTTTCATTTTAATACTCACTATCGATTCCATAAACATTACGCCAAAAATCAATGCTTTCATTGTATCTGTCAGGGTGTGTAACTGGTGCCATGTACAACTGCAGGCGGCAGATAATGAGAATCAATAGTACAAAAATAAATTTATCACCACTAACTGCTACTCTACAATAAAAAAAATGGCATTCCAAGTACGCAGGCCTTTTATACAATTGGAGAAAAAAGGAGGAAAGAAAATCACCACAAGTTTATGAAGGAATAAACTAAATTTTGCTTGAAAGGTAATTTGAAGTCAATTGGAAACAAAAACATGATGGCATTATCCTCAATGTTGTAGAGATCAAAATCGATAGGAACTAAGAAAAAGCACATACTGTAGCATTTGAAGGAAGAATAAGACCTCCACGTTTTAGCCAGCGATCTCTGGCAGTGATGACACTTCCCAGCATGCTCTACAGCATTAATAGGAAAAAAAAAGTATATACCGTCAAAGAATAGAAAGCTATAATGTTTTGCCCAAATCTTAACGTATTCCAGCTGTAATTCTCAGCATACACAACACTTGAGTATAAGCTCAATCACGCATGCAACATTTTAAAAATCACCTCATATAGAAGCATGTATCCCATCCACTCGGAGATAATAACATCAACCTCTTCATCTATTTCAACATCCTGTAGAAACCAGCTTACCAATTTGTAATATTAGAGAGATAACCAAACTGATGCAAATAGGCAAGTTTCTCAGGTTATTTCCTAAATAAATAAACTTAAGCAAATAAACAAATGAATTAATAGTTTTTCTTGTTTCTTATTAACAAAAAGAAAATTACAAATTAATTGAAGATCATTCAAACTTAAAGATAGATACTTGAAGGAAACTGATATGAACCCACTCCAATAACTCAACAATTTGGGCTGAGCCATGGGTCTTTCATGGGCTTGGGTAGAACTCTCCTTGAAAAACCGGCTTGCCAAGGGAGGGTGCCTAAGCCTTTATAACCCACATGCCCACCCTTTTCCCTTTCAATTCAATGTGGGATCCTAACAGAAACCCTTCCCGAAAAGGATAGGCATCAGATTATCCAGTCCAAAAGAAGCTTACCTCAACTCGTCCGTGCAATACAATGACCTTGTCAGATAAATTATTTGCCTTTACAACTTCATTGGCCTGTTTGCAATAAAAAATAAGATAGATTCAAACTCCAATCACAGGTTACAGTTCCTATGTAACAATAAAGATGCAGGACTGTAGGGTTATAATATGATGCATAAATCCAAGGGAACTGTTAATACAAATGTTAGTTGTTCAATGTGAAGAAAAGGTACAGAGGGAGAGAGAGAACCAGAATATGCAAGAAGATTAGATCATGGGACCCAAACTAAATCGGCAGAAACATTGTTCTATGATCCACTTATGAAAGAGAGGGAAATCCCACAAGAATAATTGATCTAGCATTAGAACTGTAGCCCAAAATCTTTGACTATAGTGGCTAATAAATGATGAAAACTTGCATAGAAGTAAAAAAATTTCTTCTTAAAAAGTTTAAGTCACATAAAGCATAAACTCAGAGTATATTGGATGGGATATCTTCAGAGGAAGTCACATAACACATAAACTCAATAAGACTTTTAGCAGAATATTAACCATGGGAACCATAAAGCAATAGAGCCATCTCCCTAGCCCAGTAAAAGGTTAGTGTGATTCAAAAATACTGAAAAACACATAGGAGAAAAAGGTGCTGTACAAGAAATCTTCAACGAAAAGGAACATCCAGTTTAGTTCTCTCTCTCTCTCTCTCTCTCTCTCTCTCTCTCTCTCTCTCTCGCTCTATATATATATATATATATATATATGAAAGAAAGAAAGAAACAAAAACACTTGCACCATTGAGAAATTTTGATTCTAGTACAATATCAAGCAGAGCACTTACACTCACAATGCTTGGAATACACAACACTTAAAAGGAAAATTTTTAAAGTTGTACGGGAAATATTTCACAATACCAATTGTAAACAAGAGTAACAAACAAAAATTTCACTACTCATCCAACCATTTGATAATAATTCAAAATTCATTTAATTTGATTCTTAGACAGACTAGATGCGGTTATGATCTCATTTCTCCAAGTCCAATGTTTAAACTAACAACAGCTTATCTACATAGGTTTTAACTATCATCTAATTCTTGGCATAATCCATCAAGTAAAAAGTTAATAAAAGGATGCCAAAATCACATTACTGAGACAAAAGAATATCAATTAATTCTCTAATATAAGAGAGCATTTAAGAAACAGATTGTATAGATCAAGCAGCTAAAACAAAATGCAGCATGTGTAGGTCAAAAGAATGAGCATTGAAGTAACAAAGCACCTGCACTGCAATATCACTTGCATCCACTGCATACACCTGGTAACACAAAACATTTCAAATATAACATGAATATTTATTAAAATTAATCAATTTAGGGAGATATGACTAAAATTTACAATATAAGACGCAAGTATGCATATATGCATAGCAAAACTGAGTCTTTTTCCCAAAAGATGAAATGCATAACAAAATTAATAAACAGATACTATGAATAGTAAAATAGAATGTCCAAAAGCAATGAATAAATTTAATGAGTAGCAATAAAGACTCTTCTACATGAAAACTCAAACTGTTCACCTCAAAATAATTTTTTAAAGGACAAACTATTCACCCCGAAAAATTGATGCTTTGAACAGAGTAAGTATGGGCAATCTACAAGTTATTTATACTTTTTGTGAGAGTGATATAATGACTTCTAATATTTGAAATGATGTTTGAAAAAATGAAACTTATATTTCTTGAAACACCACAAGGCCATGGAAATTGTGTTCTATGCATAAATTGACCAATATTTATAAAAGATATTGTCAACCATGCCCCAACATTTAACGTGGAATACAAAATCCCAGTGCATGATGATATTTACAACTTAGAAAATCTCTCAACGTATGCATCAGGTCAGAAACGAAGGACTACTGTCAAATCCTACAAGTTTTGTAGTCAATAAACTTGTTTTACATATGGACATGGAGCTTACTTGACCATTCATATGAAAAGAGAATGAACAAGAAAATAATGTACATCAATGGATCTAGCACCCTTCGCCAACCATCTTATACTCAATACATTTTTTTTTTCAACTATCACTAGATACAAGCACCAATTACAGGATTAACCAGCTTCAGAAATTACTAGATACAGGAATTAAATGATACATAAAATTTTCAGCAAATGCTGAATACATGTTAAATAAAACTTAAAACAAAAATTGTTGAAAATAATTTGAGCACTGTGACAAATATTTACCCGTTTAGCACCAGCCTGAGCACAAAATATAGAAAGGATGCCCGTTCCACAGCCAACATCCACTACAACCTGTACGCAGGATCCCATCGATTAGTAAGGAGGGAGGTAAACGACAAAGTCTGTCAAAAACAGTCTGTACAGTGGCAACATTAATGTATCTTAAATGTCATTTGAATTGCAGCGCTATTCAAGCGATAACTGAAATATAATCAAGTTTAAGAGAATAAAAAGGAAATTAAATTGTCCAGATATAAGCTTTTTAACGAGGATAAATATTTCAGAAACAACTTCATAACAGAAATAACAGCAACAACGATATTACTTTGCCTTCAATAGAACTTTGATTCTGCATTATTGCTGCTCTGTAAGTTTCCGTCCGTACACGATCCTGTACCATCCAAAGCAGAAATTCACTTAAGACTATAATAAGTTCAGTTACAAGAACCTTGTCTTCCGTAAAAGCAAAAGTAATTTACGAAATTAGGCACAACCTTTTCTTTACAAGAAATGAAAGAACCATAGCTAACACAATAATGTGAAGAAAACAAAGACCTTGCTAATTCCTTCGACCAGAAATGAAAGACCATATCTAACACATGAATTTGAAGCAAACAAAGACCTTGATAATTTATTCGACAAGAAATGAAAGACCATAGCTAACACAAGAATTTGAAGAAAACAAAGACCATGATAGTTTATTCGACAAGAAATGAAAGACCATACTAACACTAGAATTTGAAGAAAACAAAGACCTTGATCATTTCTTCGTGGATACCGACGTGAGCGTAAGAGTGGAAGTAGGCAACATCGAAGTCTGTACAAGGCGTCGCTGGCTTCCGCTCATTTTGTTGCTGATGCTCTGAAACCCTAAGCGAGTCACGTGACCTGCGGCCGCCCCTTCGGACTCGTTCCCTTTGACTCGTGATTCCTCCCATTCGCTCTTGTTGCTGCTGCGGTTGCTGTTGCTGGTGATTATGGTAGCCGTTACTGTATCCCATACTAGAGTACATTTCTCTTTTATTAATTTATTTTTGAATTTTTGTCACTGCAGCTGCTGCTAGTCGAACAGGGTTAAGAGGAGACACTCGTTGAAGACGACGACGAAGAGTTTTAAGTAATTTGTCAAACTGACCACTCTTTTAAAGCTTCAATAAAAATAACCCCCAAACTCAAAAACCCTCAAATTAATAGTATTATCGAGTAATTTACAAAACTAACCACCATATAAAGCTTCATTAAAAAAATAAATTAAAATCGAATTCAGAGAAAACCTAACGCAAATACCGTCTCCCTCACTATCACCCTCTTACACAGCCAGCTACACAGTGACACGTCAGTCCCTCAGACGACGCACCACCACACCTGACCTGAAATTCAGGCATGCACTTAACATCTCCAGTCTCCAGTAATTACAACATCTTCAACGCCAAAAAATGTGACGTTTATTTATTATATGTTTTTTTAGTTGTATGTTGATTTTTGAATTGCTTTTGAATGTTGATATATTCACAATATTCTTGTTGAATTATTTCTCAACTGATATAAATTGTGTTTAATGTGACTATTACGTTATTCTTGGTTAAATCTGATTATGCTTCTGTTTTCTTGCACTGTGAGCGGAGGAAGCAGAGATATTGCATCGTCTGAAAAAAAGGGTTCTAACACTTCTTACTTCGGGCCGGTTCAAACCCGGATACAACGGGGCCGACCCAGAGTTTTGACATCCCTAGTCCCTAGTTCCCTATATCTTTTAAGAAAAATGCTATCCTTACAAAGATAATACAAAGAAAGCTACAAAATGACAGCAGCATCCTTACAAAGATAATACAAAGAAAGCTACAAAGTGACAGCAGCAGGAACGAAAAAAAAAAGAAAAAACGGAAAAAGAGGGAGAAAGAGATTGAGAAATCATGAAGATGAAGGGTGAAAATTGTCTTTGTATGTCTTTTTTGTTTTTGTCTTTTAGTATTGCTTATCTTTTAATGGACTTATTTACTAAAATAATTAAACGTATAATTGATATTTTGCAGGTAAAAGTAAAAACATGAATTTCAAGTTTTTGGTAAAGGTTTGTCGAATTACGGCCTACGGGGAGTGTAGTTTGGCGGTGCATACTGCATACAAGTCTTATCAAATTTTACACTGTTGAGTAGGTTTGGTTTGTTATTTTGGGTAAGATTTTGAAAATAGTATTAGATAGTTGAATATGGTGATTATTATGAGGTAAAATTTAAAGTTTAACAAAAAACTTTCTAAGTTTGTTAATTTAACTAAACACCCCAATATATAAAAGTTTTATAAAATGATAAAAATACTCTCACTCACCTACATTGTCAGATTTCGGTCACACCGTCGGAATCTGACGTTACAACATAGATCGGTAAGATTTGACTGATTGTGCATCGATTTGGTTTTTTTTGGTTAGATCTACGACCAGATCTGGTTATCAGAGATAATCAAAGATATGACCGTCGTTGACCATCATTAACGGCCAGATCTGGCATTTTTTGGCCAGATTTACCATGGATCTGATTGGAAAATGTCAAATTAGTGAATTAACAGCTAGTTTCGATCGTTTTAAGCCGTTGTGACAGATTCCGAATACTATTGACGGTGGTTACCGGAATCTGGTAACTATGGGTGGGTGGAATTGTTTTTGTTAATTTTTAAATTTTTTTGCTAAAAGTGTTTAATTAAATTAATAAATTTAAGGAGACTAAAAGTAATTAAATAAAATATAATAGTATTTCTTAAACAATAAAACAAATAGTTATTTTGGGAATAAGATCGAGAATAGGGTAGGAAATAAAGAACCAAACGGACAATTCTATTCTAAAAATTGACCTAACTTGCACGAGAGACATAAATACCCTTACGTTATAAAACATCTTCAACCTCCTTGGCTCCGGCGGTCTTGCCTTGCCTTCTATCTCTCTAAATCCCCTTTACCTTATATACTAAACCAAGGTTTAATATCGTTTAAACCTCCACTAAGTATATAAATCAAAACTCATAAAAAAATAAATCAAAGTAACAAACTTCGATAGCTTGCTTCTCATCGGTTTCAGTTAACTAAATAAACCACTGATAAACCATCACTTTCTTTGCGTCTGAATTTCTGCATATTTTCCCGGAAGAATAATGTTAGTAATTTTTCTTTTCTCTTTTATTCATTTAATTTACTCTTGTTTCCTTTTGTAATTTCTTAATAAACTTACAATAAACTTGTGCTTGTATTTGCATGTATAGGTCTAGAATATGTGTGAAGAGTTTACCAAAATACGTGACGGAGGACCGCCTCAGAGAAGTTTTTTCTCAGAAAGGAGAAATTACTGATGCCAAGCTAATGCGCACCAAGTAATATTCATTGTCTTTATTTTAATTCTCAACTCAGTTATTTGGTTATGTGTTTTTGTTGTAATTTTGTTGTTTATATTTGTCTTAGGGATGGTAAGAGTAGGCAATTCGCTTTTATTGGCTTTCGAACAGAGCGAGAAGCAGAGGAAGCGATAAAGTACTTCAATAAATCTTACCTTGATACTTGTAGAATTACTTGTGAGGTTTGTCTTGTTACTTCTCTTCTCTATCTTTTCGGAAATTGATAGTTTAAAGGTTATTGATTTTTTACTTTCTTGTTATCTGCATATGAGTGCTGCAAATTTTCTATGACAAGATTGTTGAAGGAAGAAAAATTTGGGATGTCTTTACTGTTGCGATGCTAGAACTTATTTTTCAATTTCAATTTGATTTATTTCTCATTATTTGATATTATGGATACACTGTTTAGCAATCATAGTTGTCCTGACTAAAATATGTTGGCTTGATTGATATGTTTTGACATATGGGCATAACTGAAAATGTAGGGAAATCAATTACTCACAATGCTGATATATATATTTTTTTTAAACAAATGCCTAATTCTACACTAAACAAGAACAAGCAAACATTCCGGAGAATTTATTTATCATGAATTTTAAAGAGTTATAAACCTCTTTAACTTGTTGCCAGATTGCTCGTAAAGTTGGGGATCCCAATATTCCTCGTCCATGGAGTCGGTATTCTCTAAAGAAAGAAGAGAAAGCAACTGAAGATGGGAAGAAAGTTGTTGAAGATGGGAAGAGAGTTGTTGGTGCTAAAAGAGGAGAGAAAAAGAGCCTTGAAAAGGTCAGTGAGAATGAGGACCCTCAACTTCAGGAATTTCTTCAGGTCATGCAGCCAAGGATCAAGTCAAAAATGTGGGCAAATGACACCTTAATTGCTCCTACAGTTGGCCACAATGATAATGCTAATGTTGCTAAGAACAAATCTCTAGTAAACAAGGAAGGCAAGGAGAAGTCAGTTGTATTACATGATGAATCAAATAAAACCAATGTGATGTCAGATAGTCAGGCAGCTGAGAAATTACAAAATGTTGCTCATGATGAAGTCATTTCGGATATGGATTATTTCAAGAGTAGAGTGAAGAAAGATTGGTCAGATTCAGAAAGTGATGACAGTGTTGATGGCGAAGATGATGATGACGATGATGACGACAACGATGATGGTAATTCTGTCGAGGGCGAGCATGATTCTCTTCCAAAGGATGCAGGCCAATTAGATGTTGAAGAAGAACGTACCAACGGTGAAATTATTGACCCTGAGAACCTATCATCAAGTTTAAAAGATGAGCAAGAAGAAAGTTGGGAAAGTGGTCGCCTTTTTGTCCGTAATCTACCATATACAGCCAGGTGAGAACCGTTGTGGCCACTTTTTCAAATTGGTTATATGACCAAATATAAATTTATTTTTCTTTCTTAACATAAATCTTTGTGTTACAGTGAAGATGAGCTCAAGGAGCACTTTAACAAATTTGGCAATGTCTCAGAGGTTCATATTGTTGTAGATAAAGATACAAAACGATCGAAAGGGATAGCTTACGTTCTTTATGCGCTTCCAGAATCTGCATCAAGGTACTTGTGCTTGCATTAAAGCTTAAATTAGACTCTTTTCTATTACTTGGAACATGTTGGTATGCATGTCATGGGTTTTAATCTATGAATGGATGATTTGAAAGTGTTTGAAATTTGCACCTAGTTGAGGCCTATAAATATGCCTTCATATGGAATCTCCACCTCATAGTTCTGAATATCATACTTTCATATGTGAGAATTACAAGAGGTGGATGCCTCCCACTGTGCACTTCCTCTTAAGTTAGCTACTATTGTAACTTTACAAAAGGGTCTTATGTCTTTTTCCACTGGCAGGTTTTAGCTTAACTAGTATAAAGTCAATATCAAAACACAGATTCCCCAAAAAACAATCCCAATGCAAAAGCAATTAGAAAAAAAAAAATCCCCAAAGCATAAGAACAGCCCCAAGAAAAAGTCCAAATAATTAGATATGAGAAAAAGAAAATGTAATTGCTCTTCCCAAACATAAAGAACAGAGAAGAAAGATACATTTCTGAACTTTGTAGCCACAAGAAACCCAAATTACTTTGTCTCACGGAAGTGGAGTTCCTCCATAGATGGTATACAAAGATTTTTCTATTTTATTCATTCCAGATGACCCAAAATAGCCATCATCCACACTTCCAGCTAAGCTTCAAAATGTCAAAATGATGAACTGAAGTTGCTAAGAAATATGGCAATGTAGAAATCTATGGTCAATATTTTCATCATCTCTCTTGTACATCATGCTCCTCTGGTGGGTAGATGTATCCTTGAATATTTCCTTGGCGTCAAACCATTGATATTGACTTTTACATAGTATATGGTTAAGCCAAGTTTTTTCTCATTACTTGAACTTTAGCCTTCAAATAATTTTCCTTGCATTATTGTTAGTTTTTGGGCCACACACAATCTTTTACTGTTTGCAGATTGTTTATTGTTGAATCATGTGATAGGCTGCATGTTTTCAGGAAGCCAGTAATTTCTTATAGACCATTGGCGTAGTACTTTTCAATATTCATATCCTCTTGGAATCTGTTCTAGATCTTTCCCTTCACTTGGGTATTTTCTTCCTCTTTATTTTAGTCATTTGATTCCATTTTTGTTTGATTGTGCAGGGCCATTGTAGAAGTAGATAATTCAATTTTCCAAGGTAGATTATTGCATGTAATGCCAGCAAGAAACAAGAATCCGTCAAGCAAACAAGAGTTAGTTGCAGACTTTTCCTTCCAAGCCTCATGGTTCATGTCTTTTCTTGTCTATTATTATGAGGAATTTGACATTGCTTCTTCAGCAGGTCTGGCAATTTGACCAGTCATGGTTCAAAAACTTTGAAGCAACGAAGGGAGGAAGAAAGGAAGGCATCTGAAGCTAGTGGAGATACAAAAGCATGGAATAGTTTGTTCATGCGACCTGATACAGTATGCTAACTTGAAACTATAACAGACGTAACTAGTGTTTTGCTATCTAATAAGTTATTGTATTGATCTCAAATTCCTTGGCACAAGTCCTAGGCACTGATAATCTCCTTGAGTTGTCCTGTTATTGCTAGATAATCATATAACTTCCAATTTCTTTGGGTATGGTTGATGTGGGGGCATCTGTATTTTGGTTACTTGAACTCTGGTCTAATTACTATGTTTTATCTTGGTCTTGATAGGTTGTAGAAAACATTGCTCGGAAGTACGGTGTAAGTAAGAGTGATTTACTTGACCGAGAAGCAGATGATCTTGCTGTACGTATTGCTTTGGGAGAAACTCAAGTTATTGCAGAGACTAAAAAGGCTCTTAAAAATGCTGGGGTAAATGTTTCCTCTCTGGAGGAATTTGCTGCTGGGAAAACTGATGGCATGAAAAGGAGCAACCATGTTTTCATAGTGAAGAACTTGCCTTATGATTCTTCTGAAGGTGAACTAGCTAAGATGTTTGGGAGATTTGGGAGTTTGGACAAGATTATTATTCCTCCAACTAAAACATTGGCCTTGGTATGCTTTTACCTTTTTGAAATTATTCTATATTTTGATATATTGATATTTCATGTTATTAGTGTTTACAGTACCATAGATAACATTTTGTATATAGCATATTCACTAATGATTTTCTCAATTTTGATGGTAATCATTTGCTTTAAGCTGCCCCTCCACCCTACCATCATTTTGTTTGAAGTATATTATTCTGTTTTTGAAAAAAAAAAAAAAAAAAAAAAAATTTAACTTAAAGCGTTCAATATTAGAAAGTCCAAGAAATTGATGAAACTAGTTGAGTTTGTTTATATAAAGTGCTGTTAAATGAAAAATTACTCATTTCTTCTTCATTCATGTACATCTTAGGTTGTTTTCCTTGAACCAGCTGAAGCTACTGCAGCTTTTAAAGGTTTGGCATACAAGCGGTACAAGTAAGTTTATCTTTGTTTATTTATAAGTCAGATGGTTAAATGTTTTAAGTAGATCACAATTCTCTATTTTGTATGTGAAGATTGAGCAAAGACTTGACCTCTTGAACTATTAATTTTAGAGTCATATATTTATATATAGGTCAGATCTAAGCACGGAAGACAATATTAATTTTAATCAGAAAGAATGAGAAAGTAAAATTAGGTAATGTCTCGCTCTTTCGCTGACTTCTGCGTGTTATCATAGTCTAGAAGCACATGTATAGTTTGTCTACGGCCTTGCTTTGGTATTGGACAGTAAATAGATGCTTAAAGCTGGCTCAGTTGATTAGTTTAATGGTTTGCAGATTTAAATCTTTCAAGCCAAATATGTGGGGACTTAGGAAAGTTTAGTTCCTTCATCTTTTATTTATCTTTTAGTCAGAAACTCCTCTTAAAGAATATTTCATGTTGGCTAGTTACTTGAAAGATTCAACAGGGTCAAATAAATAAAAGAAACAGAAATCATATGGAGGTTAAGCTTTATGTCTATTAGCAATTGTGTATGGTATGCCACTTACTAGATGCATTTATTGACAGTATTTGTGATAAAGTTAAAGAAGTTTACTTTAGCTACTTCGAGAACATTTGCTGGAAATCTGACATTTATTTTATTGTTGTGAAGGGGTGTTCCATTGTATTTGGAGTGGGCTCCTAGTAATGTTCTTTCTCAAAATTCCACTTCTGAGAATGACGGGAAGAATACAGCTGTTGGAGAACATGATGCCAAGAGGGTGATTCTAGAGCAACAGCTAGAAGGGATGTCAGATGTGGATCTTGATCCTGATAGAGTTGAGGTTTGTCATTTAATAAGTATTTTAAAAAAAAATGAAGAATAAAATTGATTTGGCATCAGTTTATGATGTATGTTGAGTAAATGTGTTTTAAAATAAAAGTTAGGTATGGAGTAGTGGGACAACATTTTGATGAAAGAAATCAAGGGGTTTAAAAAATTCAAGGATAGATGCATATTTTATCCTTTCTGGTTTCCTCAACCTTTTGCACAACNTGGAGTGGGCTCCTAGTAATGTTCTTTCTCAAAATTCCACTTCTGAGAATGACGGGAAGAATACAGCTGTTGGAGAACATGATGCCAAGAGGGTGATTCTAGAGCAACAGCTAGAAGGGATGTCAGATGTGGATCTTGATCCTGATAGAGTTGAGGTTTGTCATTTAATAAGTATTTTAAAAAAAAATGAAGAATAAAATTGATTTGGCATCAGTTTATGATGTATGTTGAGTAAATGTGTTTTAAAATAAAAGTTAGGTATGGAGTAGTGGGACAACATTTTGATGAAAGAAATCAAGGGGTTTAAAAAATTCAAGGATAGATGCATATTTTATCCTTTCTGGTTTCCTCAACCTTTTGCACAACTCAATTAAGTCAAGTGGGTCGACAAACTTTTCATCTTTCTTAAACAAACTAATGTGGTTTTCTTATCAAAGCTTGAGATAATGGAACTAAAGATTATAATATGAATCTTCCTTGGCTTCTGCCCTATGTTCTTCCTGAAATTCTTATAGTCACCACATTTAATGAACTTTAAAGGATTGTTTGAGTTTTCAATCAATACAAGATAAACCTTCAATTGAATTCTTCTGAAGTTGTTAAATAACATATTCTTTTTAAATTCATAAGTGTATCATGTATATTGACTTTTTAGATCGTAAGATTACTCCATATGCTTAGAAAGAATATTACAAAAAAAATTTCCTTGTTATATAACCGATGGATCTTTAACTACTATTGACTGTTGATGATGATGATGAATTGATCATATCAATATGAGATACTATTTTAATTCGTATTATCAGTATACTTTTGTCTCAATGGCTGATCTGAGTTATTATTGATTTTTTATGCCTCAGCTTTAATTATGTTTGGACTTCTCATCTGCTCTTTTGTGTAAATGTTTCAGTCACGATCTCTATTTGTCAAGAATCTGAATTTTAAGACTTCTGATGAGAATTTGAGAAAGCATTTTAATGAACACATGAAGGAGGGAAGGATTCAAAGTGTTAGGGTAATTATCTGGGTCCTTTGAACATCACCCCTGATTTTCTTGATTGTTTTATTCGCTCATGTTATGGTTCTATTCTATCCTTGTGCAGGTAAAGAAGCACATGAAAAATGGAAAGAATGTTTCTATGGGTTTTGGTTTTATAGAGTTTGATTCTGTGGAGACGGCAGCAAATGTTTGCAGAGATTTACAGGTGATTATAGAATGCAAACTTAGATTAATGTCACTTTTGCTTCAATTGAAAATTTGAAAAGTTATTGCAACTCTTCTATGTTTTTCTATCTTCTTTTAGGGAACAATTTTGGATGGGCACGCTCTTATCTTGCAACTTTGTCATGCCAAGAAGGATGAGCAAGTGGTGAAAAAAGTGGAGAAGGATAGGAGTTCAACAAAAATACTTGTGAGAAATGTTGCCTTTGAAGCAACGGAGAAAGATCTGAGACAGCTGTTTAGCCCATTTGGCCAGGTTATTGTTTTATTTTGATAAGTAAAGATTCTGAAGATGCATTTTACTGAAACTTATGCACATGATAAATAAAAATTCCCTGGAATCTAACTCCAGCCGGTAATATTTGCTGCTGCAATGAATCAGTATCAAACTATTATGTGACTAACCAGCTCAATTGGCAAAAACAAGTCATTTTGGGTGGAACTGCCATAAGCTTGCACAGTCAAAATATTTTTGAAGGCTTTCACTTAAATATATAAATGCAATCATGAGAAGTTATGATAAATCTCCTGAAACTCCTTTCTGCAAATCAAGATGTACATATAATCAAAAGAAACTGCAAGATCCAAAAGTTATTTGATTAGTCTAACACCCTTTCTTCGTTCATAATTGAATAGTAATTAGTAAGACAGACTTTTAAGAGCAATGGCTCTTTTGGAATCAATATGTCAAATTTCATTAATGAAAACACTCAAAAGGTTTGTGGAGTCTGCTTAGACAGAAATTGAGATGAGTTTTGTTTTTATTCTGTAGTTGGATAAATATTTGTTCAACAATTTATGAAAATGGAGTAGTTTTTTTTTTTTTATTCTAAAGCTGTGATGTCCCTTGTGATATCAAAGTTCTCCTGCATCATATTTCATCATGCTTGCCATGTATATCTACATACTCTTTTGCTTATGAATTTGGGCAGATATATAGCTTCATTTGTGATAATTAATTCCTACACAGGTCATTGACCCTTCAAACAAAAGAACCCCACTTAACATATTTCTTCTCCGAGGGATTGGGTGTTGAATTGTTTTTTTTGCCTTAAATTCATATGAACGGTGTTGGTAGTTATATACTAGAATCGCATGTTCCATTTGTTGATTAACTCCCAAGTTTTCTTATTCTGCAGCTTAAGAGCTTAAGACTGCCGATGAAGTTCGGAAATCATAGAGGTTTTGCATTTGTGGAGTTTGTTACAAAGCAAGAGGCACAAAATGCACTCCAAGCGCTTTCAAGCACCCATCTTTATGGGCGCCATCTGGTATGTTATTTACCAATTTCAAAGTGTGTTTTGCCATAGACACACATGATTAGATAACAACTGACGGTTGCTAAAATTCAGGTACTGGAGAGAGCAAAAGAAGGTGAGAGTTTAGAAGAATTACGGGCTCGAACGGCAGCTCAGTTTACTGATGAGCTAAATGGGTTTCAGAATACAACTAAACTGTCCAAGAAGAGGAAGCACATGGCAATTGTGGATGAAGGCAGCATGAAATTTGAAAGGATTGCCATGTAAAATGCTCTAAATTAAATGTTTTCATGTACAAGGAAAGGAATGTGGTTTAATTTGTAAGGGTAGTAGATTGTAAGATTAGGTGTCTATGTTGGCTCCGTTTTTGCTTGCTGGGGTCGATATGAGTCTACAACTTTTTATTTGAAGGGGAATGAGCAAAGCAGACTTTCTCTTGAATGTTTTGATAAAAAAGGGAAAGTCAAAAAGGTTTGATCTGTTTTTTCTCTTTTCAATTCAGATTCAAATTTTTAAGATTACAACTTCATTGTGAACGTTCTTATTTTCCCATGCATTTTTTTTTTAAAATATAGGAGGTGAATAAAATAATTTCTAAGATTGATATTCACATACTAAATCTTATATTTATTTCTATTAGGCTTGTATTTAATTACTTTCATACTTTGAAGCCAGATTGGATTCTCTCTCTTTATTTAGGGATAAGCCAACTTCATTGTAAGGATGATATGTTAAAAAGCAAATGGAGTAGAGTTTATGTAAATAATGTTATTAATTTTTGTAGGCAATTTCATTTAAGGGTACTTCGGGAATATAGTTTTTCACCTAAAAAAAAAAAAGCATAGAAATAAAATTTAGAAGTGCATGTTGGCCAACAGAATTTACCTGCTACCTCCATGGTATAATCGCTAATTAAATAATTGAAAAATAAGGCAAATTGATCCAATTTATTTAAAAAATAAGAAAACCATACAACTTATACAAGAAATAAATCACTTATAATAGCAAACATTCCTCTAAAATCATATAATAAGATAATTTTGGAATTAATAAGTAATAACAATGCAAAACTGGTTACATATTGCATTATAATACAAGTATATATTAATTATCGATACTACAAAAATATTTTAAAAAGAAGACCAAATTTAACTTATAATACAGTAGTTAGTTATTATTATAAATATATTCTTTATAATATGATAAAAATCAGAAATTAAAAAAAAAAAAAAAAAGAGAGAGAGAGAGAGAGAGGATGGACGTGGATCCCACAAAGGAAGGTCACATAAAACCCTCTCCAAAACCCCCATAATAAGCCCCGAACCCCCAAACCCTTTTTTCTCATATTCTCACAGTGAGACACCAAACTACCAGCAGCTGCAGCACAATGGCGGGGCTTGTACCTCCAGGTGCGACCATCAACACTGACCCTTCCAACGCTAAATCCAAAGAAGATGAAAAAGTCGATTACTTCAACTTGCCTTGCCCGATTCCCTACGAGGAAATCCACCGCGAAGCATTAAGTCCGTACAAATCTTACTCTTTTAACTTTTTAATGTAATGCGTGACTTGTGTTTTCTTTTTGTTTTACTTTTGTTTGTGTTTGATTCTCTTTCTGATCGGTTTACTGTTTCTATGGTTGTTCGTGATCTGGGTTTTTCCATTAAAATGTGCTTGTTTGAAAATTTTGTACTTGTAGTATTGATGATATGGAGGATTTGGTTTGGGGTTTAAACTATTCCCTGCTTTTTAGTTTTGATAATAGTTGTTTTGGGTGCTTAAGGATAAAGAAAGTTATGTTCTCGTTGTAATTTTGCAAAATGGATTTGTTTATATGTTTGTTTTTTCCCTTTATTTTGGTTCTACGTTCTAGCGTGGGTTAGAAGAGGTAGACTTTTTGTGTGTTGAAGTGTTCCTTTTTTTTTTAAAAAAAAAATTTTGTTCTGAAGACGGATAGGGTTTTGCTGTATCTGCTACTAAGAGTAGCATTTTTGGTAAATTTGAAATAAAGCAAGTATTTTGGATTGTTGTTTGTTCATATTGTAGTTAGTACAAGTATTAAAACTAGGTGATTTTCAGTGTCTTTGAAGCCGGAGCTTTTTGAGGGGTTGCGCTTTGATTTTACTAAAGGACTTAATCAGAAATTCTCACTAAGTCATAGGTGACTTTTCTTTCTTCTTTATTCTTTCTGAATCATTATTGTATATTTCAATTTCTGATCTTTCTCTAGGTGATTTATTGTTTTGCTAACTATAGCTTATCACTATAAATCAGTGTGTTCATGGGACCAATAGAAGTTCCTTCTCATCAAACTACTGATGCACTTAAAGTCCCAACTGCTCATTATGAGTTTGGTGCTAACTACATAGACCCAAAGGTAGGTGTTCATTACCATATTTGCTTTGACACAATCCTCTTAATATTAAGAGGCCCTGGGAACTATCTGATCTTTGCAAGTTTTCATCAAATAATAGTAGGTGTACTAATGTTTTCCCACAGTTGATGCTTATTGGGAGGGTTTTGACGGATGGTAGACTAAGCGCTAGGGTGAAATGTGATTTGACTGATAATCTTTCATTGAAGGCTAATGCTCAGGTAAATATTAAGTATTTAATTTTTTCCTTCTGATTTTGTCCCACTCTTCATTTGCAGCAGAAATTATGCTTTTTGTTTGCACTTCATTGAGTAACGTTTTTGGTGCTTTTTTCCAGCTAACTAATGAGGATCATATGTCACATGGCATGATCAACTTTGATTACAAGGTCAAGCACTCTTACCTCAACATCTTATGCTTGTGGCAATGTTGTTTACCATAGTTATGATATATATACTTGATGCATTGAGCATCTATGTGACTCTACTCTTATGTAGGTGTGTAGGTTTTTTTCTTTTTTTTTTTTAACCGGCTTATTATGTACTCAAACAATCTGTTGTTGCGTTTGTTTGCATTGAGATTATCACAATGTGAATGTCATGGTAAGTCTAAGATTTGTGTTTATTGGGGAGAAAAAGCTAGCAAGAGAGGATTTTGCTGCATTTTCTTCTCAGATCTAAGAACTTATGAGATTATGATACCAACCATAGAGGCTATGTATGTTGCATTTCTTATGTTTTTAATTATCCTTTTTGGAGAGACAACTGAGACATTTTTGCTACGACTTGCTTGAAGTTATGTATTAAGTTTATGTAGAAAACCTCTTTGTATTAGGAAATATTATCTTGTTCTAAATACTGTTGTTTAAATTATCTTGCATTGCTTAAACTACTTCTACAGGCATATGATTTTGTCTTCCAATTTGTAGGAACTTGTAGGTTAGGATACTTGTGTAAATTTTTATAAAATATAATCACAATTTTTTTTTTCCCCTGAATTATGATAGTTTTTTCTGTTGCTAGGTTTGACTTTTTATTTCTTAATGCAGGGTAAAGACTACAGGTCCCAGTTTCAGTTTGGAAATGGTGCCCTACTTGGAGCCAGTTACATCCAGGTATATGTCTAAACAAGTGAAGCAATACTACTACATTTAATATGGATAATACAGAAAGTTGTACGAAGGACAATATAGCATGCTAACATGAACATTTATGACTTTGGTAAATGGCTTTCCTTTTATACTTGCCCTCTGAAATAAGTTTTCGCTTCTTATGTACATATTCTTCAAACAACCAGTCAGTTTTTCCCTTGCTAGAATAGTAAGCAAAAGAAAGAAATCTACATCTTGAGTTTCTTGTCAAAAATTGATTAAAAAAAAAAAGGTATTCCCTATCCTCTATATGTGTGTTACCTATTGATATAAAGCAAGCCTTATTAAAATAACATTGGACATCCACATATTATTAAGAAGGGATTATGAGGCTAGAAAGAAGGGAGATTGTTGCTTTACTAGATATAGGATTTTTCTTTCTTTTCTTTTTTCACATTAGTTTTGTTGCTGTTTTTTCATTTTCTTATTACACAGTGCTACACGAATTCCGTTGCTGTAGGAATTTATGATTCTTGTTAGTATGAACTGTCTCACTTTTTCTTCATAAGGAGTGTGTTTATCTCTGAGGTTTTTGTCTGATATTGGTTTTGCTGTAATGATATTAGTTGTGAGTGTTTCTTTTTATTCTTCTGAGGGTATAATCATGTACAAATCAATCAATGTACATTGATTTTCAATCTTTAACTGTATCTTCTGATATTCCTGCAGAGTGTGACCCCACGTTTGTCTTTGGGTGGTGAAGTATTTTGGGCTGGTCAACATCGGAAGTCGGGTATTGGTTATGCTGGTCGATATGAAACAGACAAGATGGTAATTACAAGTCTTGTTAGTACTATTATCAATGATTTAATATCTTGTTATTGAATAGCAGATAGTGGGGAGGAAGACATAGGGTTTGGCTTTGTCATTCTTTTTCTTTTCAGATCAAAAGGTGTTGGTTTTCTATTAGCTTCAATGTTAGAATCTGTGTAACCATTCTGTTTCCTTTTTCAAGAAGAATTGGTCATATTTATACCTGACTACTGAAGTTGTTAGCTTGGATCTGTAATTTGATCCACATCACTCTATTTGTGTTTCACATGCACTTGACCAGGCCATATTTCTCATATGATTGCAGGTTGCCACAGGACAAGTTGCTAGCACTGGAATGGTTGCTCTAAGCTATGTTCAGAAGTTATCAGAGAAGGTAAAGAAGGCCTAGATTTTTGAAGGAGTTTATTTTGTTATCTCATTGCAACTCTTACACTATTTTCTTTTGTTAAGGTTTCTCTAGCATCAGATTTCATGTACAACTACATGTCAAGAGATGTCACTGCTAGTGTCGGTTATGATTACATCCTTAGACAGGTATGTTTGCAGATGTATCACATTTCTTTTTGCATACATTCAATGTAAATCATACTTTTAAGAAACTAATACAAAATATAGTCCTTTTTAATGTTATAATTGATTTTTTCTTAAAAAACCTCTAGTTGAGGTGAAAAAACAGTGTGGGACATGATTTTTCTTATTCTCTGTTATGGATGCTGCATGATAACTTTGGACCTTAAGGCCATTTACTAAAAGTTTTTTATATGAGGACTTTCTTTTACTTTTTAAATAATGAATATGGCTGTCTATGTGTTGGATTTTTTTCGTGTTTCACTCTATATACCAGCTTTGATACACGTATGTTACTTTGAAACAATAATTATCTAAACATTTGAAGTTATGTTTGTAGTTATATTTGCAAATATAACTTGGTCAAATCAGATATTGCAAGGCTTTTATAATAGTAGTTATATTTGCCAATGCATAATTCATTTAACTTGGTCAATAAAAAAAGTGTTCACAATATAAACTTTAACTTTGTCCAAAGAACATTTGGATAAAGTGTAGCTGATGCCCACATTTGAAGTTTGATTTTTCACCAATTTTATAAGAATTGAGAATGTTTATCCATTCATCACATAAGCTCTTCATCATTCAATTATAAACATAATGTTTTGTGGATTTGAGAATTTACTGTATATGATAAAATAGTTGTTATAACAATTAATTGCTTTACTTTGTAGTTGATTTTTACTACAAGATTGCTAAAGGTGTTTTTTCTATTTATTTATTTTTTCCATTATTACAGAACTTACCCTCAACAGTTTGAAGCATAAGCCTACTTATGCTGCTTTTTTTTTTTTTTTTTTTAATTATTATATAACAAATCTTGAGAGTTTCACTACTTAAGTCAAAGCTTGTGGTGTATCTTTTGTAAGCTTTGGAAAGCCAAAAGAACATAATAATAAAAAATAATGAAAGTATGCTTTAGTAAAATTTTTATTTGCTTGTGGGTGCTTTGGCATTTAATAAAATTGGAATGAAGTGTGGCGTCTTTAATACTACTGTTATCAGCACAACCATTCTTCACTCTGCATGTTGTTAGACTTCCAGACTGAGTTTTTAGGAGATACTATCATTATCTTTCTGGTAGTAAGGTCAACCAGAACAAATATTTCATGTTTTTAGATGATTGGCCATTAGAAGAGAGGCGTAGTAAATAATAATTTATATTTGTTTTACCATTTATTTAGGAACAGCAAATCAAGTTACCAATACTGATATTTGAATAGAATGATACCCTTGATTTAATATTTATTCTCCATGACTTATATTGTCTTTTGTTCTCCGAAATGTAGCGACACAGAAATTTATAAAATCAGCCTTGTTATTAAAGTTTCTTTTCCAAGAACTTTTATTAGACATGATGTCCATGAGTAAATTTTGGGTGTGGCTGTTTCAGTGTCGTCTCCGAGGGAAGATTGATTCAAATGGTTGCACTGCTGCTTATCTTGAGGAGCGACTAAATATGGGCCTCAATTTTATTCTTTCTGCTGAGGTGAGGATTAAAATGCCTAGCCTGAAGGCTCTTTCACTGGAATACCTTTTTCTTTTCCTTGTTTGGGTTGTGTGCTTTCATGAGATGTGATTCTTAACGTTCTTTTGGGATTAATGTATTGCAGATAGATCATAGGAAGAAAGACTACAAATTCGGGTTTGGGCTGACAGTAGGGTGAAGAATTGGAAAAGCTGAGTGATGTATTATTACTTTCATTCATATAAGCTCATTGTTGCCAGCAACTCAGCAGAGTTGTGCTTCTGCTTCAACTTCAACCTTACCTACTTCTGTTTGAAAATCATAAAATCCATTCTATACTGTCTTTTGAGTTACGAATCCTTAATGGGGTAGTGTCAGCTGGTGCAACAGTTTTAGAGCCTCATTTATTGGTTTTTCTTGAAATCATTTTGTTCTCCTGTCAGAGGTGTAGAATTTTTATCAATGCAAGTAGAGAGATTTTATTTTATCTGGATGTATGGATTCGGATTGAGAGAAATGGGAATGTTTTCCCTTCAAGAAGATGCCTCACCAATTGTCATATTCATGGATTAGTATGCCTATATATAGTAAAACCTAAGGCTCTATAGTGACTATAACGGTAGGATCAAAATAATTTATTAAATTTATTACTATAAAGAGGTTATAATTTAATAGAAGTGTAGTTATAAAAATTATTGTTTTGATTTTTTATTTTATAATTCACGTTTTAGTAGATTGTTTTATGATTTTAATTAATTATTTTAGTAGTAATTGTTGTAATTAGACAAGAGGAGAAAAAAAATAATTATGAGGATGATATTACGAAAATATAAAAAATTGTGTTAAAAAACTTTAAACATACTTGAGAAGTTGAAAATATTTTGGCTTTAATAAGATGTACATGTTAGTGAGTTATTATGTGTCCACAAGTTAAAAGATGTGATCATAATTTTAAAGTTTAAATCATTGTCTTAAATAATTTTAAATAAATATTTTATTTTATTTTAAATATTTAATGTAATAATATATTTATTTTTTGCAATATGTAAATAAGTATTATTATGTAGAGGTAATCTTTTTTAAGATGAGAATTAGAAAAATTTTAATTTATTACAATATGGAGGTTATTCTTATCTATAAGTATCTTGAGTTGGATTAGAACTTTTTATAATTATATAGACATTATTTCTATATAAAGTATCATTATAAAGAGATTTATCTTATTTCAACATTTTTTAGTCGTCCTCGTGGTATTAAATTGCAGTGTCATTTCACATTTTCAGGTCATTTTCTCACTAAACCAAATATATGAAAAAAAGAAAAAAAAAAAAGCAATGAAAGACTGAACACTAATCTATATATCTATATAATCCCGGAGTCTACCTTTGCTATTGATTGCCATTTGGATTCTGATAGAAATCCGAGGCTTCTCCTACAAAAGTTCACTCACAAACCACTACCCAGCTCACTCTGAACTCCATTGGTCACTAGCCCAGAATTTCCAGTCACACAAGAACAGTTTTAACACTTCATACAATTGAAAACACAAACAATGTTGAGTAATCTCAATATCTATATTTAATAACAATTTTGTGACATTCCTATTCGAATAACAAATCATTCACAACTAGAATTAAACATAATCAAAAGGCAAGCATAAACCAGCTCATCTAAGATGAGTCTACATACAATAAAGAAACCCGCTAGACTTCACGGGCCAACACCTCCCCAATCCCCTTTCCTTTTACAAAATCGATGATGATGAAAGATCTTTCCCACTGCCTTTTATTCTTCGTGCTCTCTTGCTATAACTGAATTCAGCTCCCCAACAAATCAGCATTTGCCACTTGTCACTCTCCCATAAACCCAATACCACCCTCCATCATGCATAAAACCTGACCTTAGTCCCTCATCCCCCTTTTCACACCTTTATTTTTGGTAGCGTGCCGAATGCACCAAATTAATTAACCTTACTAACCTAACTACTAAATTGTATATAGGGTGAGCAAGGGTCGATCCCACAGGAAATGATTCGATTAAATCCTATATTCTATGCCAATAACCACAACGAAGACAACAGGAAAATAAAATAAAATCCTAAACAGTAAACACGACAGCAGAATAATGAAAGGGGTTGTAATCGATGCAATCTAAATTGAAACAAATAAATCTCCAATGGTAGAAAATATCAAATTAAAAACAACCAGTTCTCGGTTCAAGATCCACCTAAACATGCATTGGACACGAACTAACCGTAACATTATTCTATCTTATTATTATGGAATTACTGACCTTAGGAAACAACAAGCTCTGTTACCCGAATTTCCCTTAATAATCACTATTGAAATAAGCTCTTCAATTAGATCATAACCCTTGAACAACCTAGAATAAGCTCTTTAAATTTAATTCAATGGCAGCCTTAAGCACTAGGAAAATAGATCAATCCAAACAACAATCACACAAGATCTGATTATTAAACTTATGTTATGTTATTTAGGGTTACAGATTGAAAACTTGTCTGTAATCATCTGTCACCATGTGTTACTCATTGAATAGAAAAAGGACAATTACGTATCACACTTCCTAATTCTAACAGATAAAAATCCGATTAAACAATTCAGCAGGCCATTACTAAATCACCCAAACAGAAAATTATAAACAATTAAAACAGAATAACATAAACAATTCCAATAAAAACGAGATTGAGAACAATGTTACTAAAGTGAAGTTACACCAACGACATGAATTCAGGCTTCAAAATCCCCTTGAACTGAAGAAAGATCAACCGCCGCACATATTGACGTAGAAAGTAAAAAACTAAAAACAAAACTCCACTGCCTTCCCCGCCCCGGTTTAACCTAACAACTCCTAAATAAATAATGTGTTTTTTCCTTAATTCTCTCCCATGAAAAACGGAAATTACTTTCCTAGATCTTTGCTAAATGATAGACTTCCAAAACTGTCAAAATCTTATCAGATATGGAAAACAGAATTCATAATCCAGCTTGCACCAGGATTCTCGCAATGTAAAAGAACTCTTCTGGGCTTGGTCACTTCATAAAAGTTGTAGTCCTGGATGTGTAGATAAATTTGGGCTTTTGAATCACCTACTTTCGATATCTGAAGCTCTAGTTAGGTCCATTCGAAGACTCAATACTCAGCCAGGAAATCCTTCTGCGAATAAGATTTCAGGTCCGGTTTTGTAACAACTAATGAGGGCCCAAACAAACTCGGATTCTCGCCCATAATACCTTCCTGGAATGCTTGATTCGTCTACTTTACTTTTCCTGAAGAACCTTTTGCAATTGAGAAATCTAACTCCATGAAAACCTAAAAAACGCAACACTGGTCAGAATAACAAAAACTCTGGAATTTCCTAATCTTTTCTCAATTATTTCATAAAGTCTATCCAAATATGTCAAACTTACAAAATAAATTCCAATCAACTCAACTAGGCATAAAACATAACAAAAAACATAATATGGAAGGAATAAAAATATATAAATTACACTCTTATCAATTTTTCCTCCCATATACTAAAGTGTTGTTGGTCTCATCATTATCTCCACCCCCCCAAGGAGAGCCACCTTGTCCTCAAGGTGAAAGGATGGAAAGTGCAGTTGGATGGTGGAGAACTCTTCCCAAGTATTTTCAAAATTCGGTAGTCCTTTCCATTTGATCAAGACCTCCCAAGTACCATTCAACAGCTTTCTTTTCTTTAACACAGCCTCTGGTTCAATAGCTAAAATCAAGTCCTCATCCGGGTCAGTTGGAAGCGGTTGGACATTCGAGGGTGGGAAAGTAGTCTTCTTAAGTTGGGGACACATGAAAGATGTTGTAAATCCAGGCTGTAGAGGGTAGCTGTAGGCGGTAAGCGACTGACCAATTTTTTTTCGTAATCACAAAGGGGCCATAGAACCATGGACTCAATTTCTCATTGCAATGACGAGCCAAGGAGCGAAGGCGGTAAGGTTGTAGCTTGAGATAAACTGAATCTCCCACTTCAAAGTTAATTTCTCTCTGCTTGGTGTCTGCAAAGTGCTTCATTCGATTTTGAACTTTGACCAAATTCTCTTTTAGTTCTTGAAGGATTTTGTTTCGGTCATGTAGCTATTGGTTTACCTCTTCAACTGTGGAGGAATGTTCAGAATGTTTCAGGATGACCGGGGGGTCTCGGCCATAAAGTGCTTTGAAGGGTGTCATGCCAATTGAGTTGTTGAACGTAATGTTAAACCAAAACTTTGCCCAAGAAATCCATTTGGGCCACTGTCAGGGTTGAGTACTAACAAAGCAATGGAGGTATGTTTCCAAATAGTGATTTACTACTTTCGGTTGACTGTCTGTTTGAGGGTGATAGACTGAACTCATTTGAAGTTGTGTTTCGGACTGCTTGAACATCTCACCCCAAAAATGACTAATAAACACTCGATCGTGATCCGAGACAATCAAACAAGGAAACCAATGTAATTGGAGAATCTCTTTAATGAATAAGCTTGCGATATCCCTAGCCGTATACGGATGCTTCAAGGTCAGGAAATGACTATACTTGGTCAAATGGTCCACAACCACCATAATTGTACCAACCTGAAAAGCCCTTGGTAAGCACGTGATGAAATCCATCGATATGTCTTCCCACACTTGATTTGGAATAGGTAACAGTTGCAACAGCCCAGGGGACTCAAGGCTTGATATTTACTCTTTTGGCAAGCCTCACATGCTTCAACAAATGTGTGTATATCTTTCTTCATACCCTCCCAATACACTACATTGGCCAGGCATTTGTAAGTGCGAAAAAAAACCTGAATGTCCTCCAATGGGAGATGAGTGAAACTCTTGTAATAAATTCTGAATATGAGCCCCCATGCGTGGCATGACCAACCTGTCATGGTACATCAATTGGTTCCCTACCAGTTTATAAGGCAGTCGACTGGTTGGATGAATAAGCAGCTCTTGAACTATTTTCCTCAACTTGGCATCCTGGTGGACCGCATTTTCCAGATCCTTTATGCCTGCAAAACAGCTTATTGATAAAGCATTAAGTTCCCCAACCTCAAGCCTTCTAGAAAATGCGTCAGCCACCTTATTCTCCTGACCAAGTTTATATTGAATGCCAAAGCGGAGCCCCATCAGTTTCATCACCCACTTTTGCTGGTCCTCACTCAACAGCCTCTATTCATTTAGGAAGTGTAAACTCCTCTGGTTCATTTTTATCACAAAATGTCTGCCTAATAAATAGTGCCGCCATTTTTGGATTGCCATGACCACGACCATAGGCTCCCTCTCATAGACTGGCTTAAGTCTGGACTGTAAAGACAACCCTTTACTCAAGAACGCCAATGGCCTGCCTTCTTACATCAACACAACCCCTAAATCATGTCCTGACGCATCTGTCTCAATCACGAATTCCTTGGAAAAATCTGGCATAGCTAAAATTAGTACTGAAGTCATGATTTGTTTCAATTCTTTGAATGCCCTCTGTGCGTCACTATTCCATTTAAATGCGTCTTTCTTTAATAGCACAGTTAGAGGAATCACAATTT